AGACAGCATTAGTATTATCTAAAGAATAAAGATAAGTTAATTCATTCTCTATAAAATCTACATTCCAGATTTTTATTGACTAATCAAAACCACCTGAAATGAGTTAATTTTCTTATTTATTTAATATTAAACATGAAACCCAACCATTATGTTATTAATATGGTTATGACGATTTCCATTCATTGTTATTAATCTATTTCCAACAAATGATTGACTTATCCCAAGAACCAGAAATAAAAGAATTAAATTTTTTGCTAAAAACTAAACATTAAACATGATTTTAATGCACACTAATTCGATTTGATAATATTAACCTTCCTTATGTAAAATTCCAAATTAAAATATCCTTAACATGAGTAGATGTCATTATTGATCCAGTGTTATTAAACACTATTGAATAACAAAAGTCAATCTATTTATTTGAATCATCAATTAACTTAAATTCAAGATCATATTATTTTAATTAAAGATTATCAATTTGTTATTATTCTTGAATTATATTAATTTATTAGATTAAATGTTATTATTAATTAATAGTTTATAGATTAATTAATTATTATTCACATTTATTTGTAAATTCAAATGATTTAAATTAATTCAATTTATTAATTATCTTTTGATTCCAATTTTGATTAATTGAATTAATTTAAGTAATTAAAGGTTTATAATCAAATTATTATTAAATTTAAACTTTATTAATTAGATTATCCAATTCTTCAAAGAAACTATAATTAACATTCTATTATCCAATTTATTATAAACATTTGATCCATTCATCTGTATTTCTAATCAATTAATCTAATTATTATATTATATATGATTTTAATTAATGTAATGTTTTCTAAATTTCATCAATCTATTTGATATTCTTTATAATAATATATTCAACTTATTCAACCTTTTTCTTTTAATTATCTTCAATTAATAAAGCAATCTTTTTAAAACTCATTACATTATTTAGATTAGATTCTAAATTATCCATACATTCATTGCATAATAGTCTTTTACTCCTCTCTATTCGTTTATCACAAACAACCATATAAATTGGAAGTTTATGATTCATTGAACAAAAAAGTTCTTCTTCTTTTTCTATCATTTTAAAATAAATATTTATATTTATTATTAATTAAATTATTTATCTCAGTTCTTCAGCCTATTAAATTATTTTGAAATTATATTCAAGAAAGATCATTATCTTTAGTTTCAACATAAAAAATGAGGATTAGAACTACTTAAATACCAAACATGTTTTTTTATTCCATTCTAAAAAATTTAATTGAATTGGCCTCATCAATTCTAACTTGATTATTATTTTGCGAACTGGCTTTTTTTCCTTCCAAATCTCTTAAATAGCTTTTAAGATTAATGAATTATTTGTTAATATCGAGTCAAATCCTCCAATTACTAAATATGCGAATTAGTTTATTTTTATCAGAGCTTAGGATGAGGTTTAAAATAATAGCAAATTAACAGCAGAGGAAATGAGAAATTATTTTAGAAATTAGACCTGAAGGAAAAGAGGAGACTTAGATTTCATAAGAATATTGCTTGTATTGAAATTTATATCGAGGAATAACTCTTCTTTTGATAGAAATACAAATGATCAAGCTAAAATTTAACAGATGAAAATACTTTTACTTAATTGCTGAATAATATGGGAAGAATAGTATATTTATTGATAAGAAAACTAATCAATAAATAAAATAGAGTTTCTACAAAGAGTGAACTCGAAATTTTTTTGGAAATAATCCTAATCAATATTAAAATATAAGTCAACGTGATCATAAATATATCCTAAAATAAATTATCAGTCGATAAGTTTTATTTGATAAATACATAGGAATCAAGGTTTAGATCTTATTTTAACAGTGTAGTCCATACATCTAATTAAAAAATTGAGTTTATAAAAATAAGAGTAAAATTTAAAGCATCTTAAATTAATAAAGAAAAGTTTTAGTTTTGTGGTCTAATTTTCTAATAATAAAACAGATTGGTAGAATTAAAGTTAATTAGCAGTCATCTGATTCACATAAAAAATATTATTGTTCAGATTAACACTGCTCCCTAAAATGAAAGGATAGATTTCTGAAATGCATGATAGTTTATTTATTTAGTACTTTTCTTATTTATTTATCAAGATTTTATGTCTAATAAATTTGGAGCTCTCTCATTTATCATTTAATATTTTATTTTTTTTATATCATGATTAATTAACAAGTGCAATGTGATCACTAAATGACATATAAAAATAAATATTTTTTTATCTTGAAATTTTCAACTAAATAAACTTTTTTCTATAGAATATTAAGTTGTCATAAATAAATATTTTAAAGGAGAAGTTTAGATCTGATTTCTTGTTTCAATAATTAAAAATTATTAATGATCCTTGTTCATTTATATTGGTCTATTTTAATAATTTCTTTTAAATTTAATTGAAATAGGTAACTCCTCAAAACTTGTCCATCCAAAATTAAATTTCTACATGATCATAAATAAAATAGCAGTTTCGTTTAAATAAATCTACAATCAGATTTTTTTTAAATAGGATTGATTATGAGGGATTTATGTCTAGATGTATAAATAAGTGATGATACTAATAAATAATATTATTCAGTAAGAGAAAAGTAGATTTGACATGAAAGAAATATGGATGAGAAGATGGAACTTCAAGTAATAAATAGATAGTGGGTGAAGCCATAATTTTAGATGAAAGGATGTATCTTGAGTTGAGATTAATTTGAAATTACTTATTGATCTAAATAAAATTTATATCTAAAAACAAAAGAAATATTAATGAATTCTTCAAGATAAGGAATAATTATTACTTCAACAACAAGAATCAAAATAGTTGAACATAATATTATCATATATTTTATTAGGAAGGAAATCAACTAGGCATAGGGAAATATTGGATTATTATGAGGAAAAATAGAAAAGAAAGAATCTAGCTCTGTATTTGCTCATTGCTACACTTGAAGTAGCTATTTACATGAAAATAGAGCTGCAGGAATTGAAAGTATCATCTATGACTACTAAAGCTTTGGCAGGGCGTGATCTTAAATATGGATAGACAAAATAAGTTGAACTTCAATAAATTGAAGGATCAATGAGGAAGTTATCTATATGGTTTTAAGAGTTCAAAATGGTTTATGATAAAAACCATTGGATGAATCTACCTAAGCCCTTTTTATAACCATATATTTCCTAAATTAAAAAAAGAATTGTTAACCATCCCTTTCTTAATTTAAATCTCAGAAGATTGAACCGCATTGAATAATGAAAAGAGATAATAATAATAACTATTTTTCTTACTCAAATTTACATTTTAATCCAATTCATTTAGACCATTATCAATCCTCAAAGGGCATTTCATTTTCGATGAATAATTTTAAAGATACTTTTTGGATTTCTAAAACTGTATGTTTCGAGAAACCTATCCCAAATTTAATTTTGGCCATTCTTCTATCATTTTAGAAAATAATAATACCCTATGGATGAACTTAAGGAAGGTTTAAATAAATTCTTTTAAATAAGGATCTTAGAGTTATAAATACGATTGCTTAACCTTTGTAAATGATAACTTCTGAATTGAGGCTTAAAATGAAAAAGAGAAAGTAGAAGTATGGAAGCTGTCTTGAATGTAGATATATTCTTTATGATTCACTAAATCTGTATATTTATAAATCTGGATTAAACTGATTATGCGCTCCATCTAACTAGTAGAGAAATTGAAAAGTATGAAAAATGACATTGTCTTGTTCAAGGATGGAACTTTGTAGTTTAATTTTATGCAAGCCTGTTAATTTGTTCATGAGACTCATCTACAGAATGAGAACACAAAAATATTATTAAAAAGGATGTATATTATTGAATCTGTCTCTAATAAACATAACATAATAAAAAACAGAATTAAAAATTTTTTTTAACTTTTAATTCGATGACATCATAATTGCGGTCAACCAAGAAGTCTCCTTCTTCGATCCTTGGAGACACTGTATGCGTTCTATAGCCTCCAAATTCATTAAGTTTAAATTAATCTGAGACTATGTTGGCATCATGTGCTAAAAATCGTTATTTAATATGGAAGAAAGGAGTAAATGAGAAATGGGAATTAAAATGTAAATAAGAGGTTACTTAAGGATACAAAATATACTTTATGGATGATTAATAATTACTATGGGTGGCAAATGATAAGAATATTGATTAAATTTTAATTTTTTAATTAGAGAATGGAGTATTCAAATAGAATTAAGACAAAACTATTCAATTAAATACAAATCAATTATGTGAAGATGATTGGAGACTCTTCCAAATTATATATAATAAAGATAAAAATATGCTATTAGTTAGACATAAACATCATATTTATATTATTAGCAAAGTAAATGAAGGTAACTTTAAGATAAGAGGATCATTAAATTGTGAAATTGAAGATATTTTTGGAACTATTACAGATAATGCATAATATTTAGTATTTTGGGATAACAAATAAAAGAAATATTCATCATATGAGTTATTATAAAAATGAAACTTGAGATATTGAGATAAAAAAAAATTTTTTAGTATATATATTTCAAACTTTATTTATTATTAATATTAAGTTTAGCGTATTTTTATCTGAATATTTTAGAAATTTTTATTCGTGTGATTCAATTTAATTATGCCATTGAATTTAATTAATTTAATTAATTAAGTTTTAAAGATAGTCTTTAAGGTGTTTGTAGATTTCACTATATTATGATTTATCACTGATATTAGATATGTCATTTGTATTCTTAAGGAGAAAGTATCCATGGTGGTTCAGACTTTAATTTCAATATTTTCTTCAGCAAAATTCTAATATTTAATTAAAAAAATTACTTTAACAAATAAAAAATAAAAAGGTTATTAGTAATAAATATTTATACATGAAAACCATGGCACATCAATTCAAATGGTGCAGATTATTCTCTTATAAATACTCATCATTCAATTTATGATGAAAAAAAATAGTTAGTTAGATAAATTATGATGTCTAATTTGTATGCTTTCCTGATTCTAGATCTTAAATGCCTCTAATCCAAATTTCATCACATTCAAAATTCAGTTTAAATGAATTTTTCATAAAAATCATATATTAGTGTCAGAGGTCACTGGGTTCATTTATAAAAAGAAATTTGATCCTAGACAATTAAGTTAACAGAGATTTAGAAGAAGGTAATCAATTATGGTTTGAAGGTATTTATATAATGTATTTTATTTAGCAGTCTCCCGATGATCTTAATTCATCAGATATATTTATTCTGTTTTTTCCTAAATTTTAATCATGTAGATATAGTTTAATCAAAAAGTATTTATGTTTATAAATAAATTAAATAATTTATAGAAGAATTAATTATTAAAAAAATTAAATTATCTTCTACTTTTCTTCTCAGGAAGAAGGGAAGAAAAAAGAAGATCTCTTCCATAAAGGAGGTCATGGCGCAATTTTGATGCCCTGAGGGCTGCCCCCTCACAGAGGATGTGCCCATTCATCTTTACGATTAATTCTGATGTTCCTTTTAACCAAAAGAAATATGGTAGGAAATTCGAACCTGAAGCTGTCGATTTATTGTTCATTTATTAGAGGAGGAACCTTGGCAATTGCCACGCTAGAGAATCCTTTGAAATAGTGTCTCAAACTTGGCGGAGAGATCTTATAGTAAGTGTTACTTAATTCTTCGAATCGGTGGGCAGATTTATATTAGAATTTTTTCGTTAGCGAATAGGATGCAGAATAGGCATGAAGGTTGTTGAAGGGAGTCGGCTGGTCTCCACCTTATATACTCGTAGTGATCAGGAAGCTACGCCAGTAAAACTATATCCTTTGCATGAAAAAGATCATTTCAGTTGAATTTCAATGAAAAATTTTCATATCATTATTATTATTATTATTATAGAAGAATTTAATTATAAATTCCATTAATTACTAATACTCTAAAGTTGTTTTAATGATTTAAAAAAATCATAGTTGCAAATTTATTTACTATTATTTACCAACCAAATCCTAGCAAAATTTAACTTAAATTTTAAATAATTAAGTTGTTATTTAAGCATTAGATAATCTTAATCTTTAATAACTAAGAATTAGTTTATTCATCTCTCAAAGAATACTATCTCTTGATTTCTTAGTTGGTTTCTGAATTAATTTACATATAATCTTCATAAAATTGCCTATTTTTGTAAATCTATCTTTTTTATGGAAATAATCAGACTAAATACTACTTATTTCATTTTTTACAATAATTCTTTGATATATTTAGGATAAATTGGATATTAATTAGTTTTATAAAATTGGGGTGAAAATGAATAAAATTTTGAATTAATTGCATAAAATGAGATATAGTTATAAATTCGATCTTTCTCTATCAAATCAATTAATTTAATTCTAATCAAAGATTAATTAAATTAATGACTTATACATATAATTAAAACAAATTAGTAGTTTAAAAGAGTATTTTATTCATTTTGTTTATTTTCATACTTATATAGATTTGATAAAAGAAATCTAGGAAACGATAAAAGAATAGTCCTGAATGAGTTTAATTCTATTTTTAAACAATTTTTATAATTAGTATGAATTGAAGCAAACAAATCTAATATTAAACATTATCTTTAAATTATTAATTCTAATAATAATATATTTTTTCAGTTTTTTTCTATCATTCTTGCTATAAGACTAAAATATTAAACATGTTTTTGTGAGTAATAAAAAAATAAACTTGAAAATACATTTTTTTAAAATGCCATATCTCATTATTTATATTCTTTAATTATATGTTATTTTTCTTTTATCGAATTATTTTAACTAATACTATTTTATTCTATTTATTTAGACAAAGGAATCCAAAGAAATAATATAATAAGGAATTTAAATATTATATAAATTCAACATAATATAAAATCTTTTAAAAAGTTTTTATTGCAGCGTCTGGGTAAATTAAAAAGTATTAAAATCTAATTATTATTTTTGATTATTAGGTTGGAAGTTAGCAATTTTTTTTAAATTATTGCTATTAATTTCACAATTACAAAAAAGACCTTAAAAATCCTTATTCACTAAAATATTTCCTAGCAATATTTAAAGGCAATTATTTATGTTGTTGAAATATTTTGGTAATGAAAAAATGGTTCCCCTCAATGGATTTCAGTCTAAAATATAATACAAATCAAACATTAAATCTTTTTCCTTTAAATATTAAACCACATAATCTAGAGTAGGATATTAATCATTTATAGATGGAATTATGGAATGCTTAATATCTAATTCATATTTTTATCCAGTTTAAATAAACAACATAAATGGCATAAAAACCATAAATCAAAAGAAGTTAAGTCTATCTTTAATTATTGATTTTAACTGATGTACAAACTGATAAAATATTAGTTTTTATTGATGATATTATTGTTTCATCTTATTTACCATTATCAATAATCATAATAGGTATAAAAGATCAAAATTTTAAAAATATATCATAATTATAAATTGTGATAATAAAACCATGGTAGATGTAAAATGAATAAAGCTGTTAGAAATTTAGTTTAATTTCTTCCGTTTTAAACGATACAAAAAAGATCCAGCTCAATGATTAAAGAAGGTTTCAGAATAACTACCATTAGTCATTATATAGAATGGTTATTATTAGTTGTAATCATCCAAAATAAATCTAATAAGATTATAAGTATTCAATCAATTCTGCTTAGAAGTTGATCAAACATTTTTACCAATCAACCAAAATTTTTAGTTATATAAGCTTATGAGGCTTCATGTAATTTGGCTACAACTTCTATAGAATCCATATAAGAATATTAAAAAATTCTATTAGATTAAGTAATTAGATAAAAAAATTATAGCAATGATCTATTTATTAATAAATAATTTTATGATAAATTTCAATACCAGCGTCTCTCATCATTTAATCAACTTTGTTAATCATTATTAAAACAAAGAGTATAGTCATAGATTATCTTTTTTTTTTACTCAATTAAGTTGATATCTTTTAAATAAATGTTATATCTATTATTAAATCTTAAAAGCCAATTTCAGAATTTTATTCCATAAAATATTAATAGGAAATTGCATTTTTTTAAAAATAAAGTTTCAGATAATTATTTAAATAAAACTAATTTAACAAAACTGCATGCTGATAAAATCATCTAAGATACTATTATAGATTTACTAAATTGATTATTATTTATAAAAGGGATGAATAGTTAGAATATTTAGTTTTTCAGTTCATAAATAGTAAAATATTATTAACAAATACAAATTCTATTATTTAATAACAAAAATAATTAAAAGATATACAAGAATAAATAATATAAATGTAATCCTTGATTGTTTAAGTGATAATCTAAAGAAGTTAAAAAAAAAAATTGATTGATTTTTAAAAGCCACTCTATTTTAGGTGATTTCTTGATAATTTTTTTTATTATTATTAAATTAATTGATGTCAAGGATTGAAAGTTTAGAGATTAATTTTAGTTCATTTCTATTACATTTAGAAGAAATTACCATCTAATTATCTTAATTATCACTTAAAATGTTATAATCTGAAGGTATAAAATTGTTTCTTCTTGACTTTCCTATTTTTCTTTTGTTACAAAAACAATCAAAAAATATAAAAATATATACCTAAAGCCTGATCAAATAGTTAATGATAAAGATAAATATTAATTTAAAAAAGACCAATCGAAATTCTAATTCCAAAAAGTAGGTATATTTAATAAGGTTTTCTTTTTCATTTTCTAATCATACCAAATTAAAGGGAAGCTTAAACAGAAATAATTTCATGATTTTAATTATGATAAAGAATCTATTTCAATAAATGAATAATGTTTTTTTTATTTATTAGAAATTCTTAATTCTAATTATAAATATAATATTTAAGTTATATCAATTAAAAAACTAAATGATCTTAACTATATCTAATAATTAAGTTTATTTAAGTAATATTAGAATTCAGGATCATTCACAATTTAATTTTCTAATCTCAGAAGATCATTTTTATTTAAACACTGAGCATTACCTTTTTCAATCAGATCTTATTAAAATCTGACCCTCATATAAAATATAAGTTAATTTTTAGTTTAAATAATTTCTTTAAAATTTATATAAGAAAATTTTGAAACTTAATCTTTAAAATCATTTTATAATAATTATTCATCTAATTACTATTTTGAATGACAATATTATCGCATTATGAATAAAACGTTTTATTTGAACTTTTTATCCTTTACTTTAAATTAAATTTTTAATGAGATATCAATTAAGATTTTTTTCTCAAATTCCAATAAAAGTTTGTGAAAAATTATTTTAGTTTCAGATATCTTTTTAATAAACAATTAATCTACAATTTTAATCAATTTTCAGAATCCTCTTATCCATATTTATCTAGAGTTTAATAGTCTGAAAACAACGCATATTATGTACATTTTTTCCAACTATATTTGTGTCTTTCCACCCATAATCTGGTAGGTATTTTATTCAATGGAGAAAGCCTTTTTCCTTTCCTAATTACATACTCCTTATTCTCAACTAGCCTTTATTCTAAGACATCCCTACTCTAATATCATATTTTTCTTTCCAATTTATTTATAAGTATCACCTTGGTTTTATTTTTTTAATAATACATTCTTACTATCTATTCATGAATAGCTAAAGCATAGTTGTAAGTTGTACACAACTCATCAATTACCTTATTTGAAGTATTCTTAGCCAAATTAATTGTAAGCTTAATTGAGTTTCTATATAATTATTTTTATTTCTCCAATTCTTAAGCAGTAAATTGTTCAAAAAAGGATCAACATAATCAAAGCAAGGTTTAATAAAAGCCATCCATAGCTGAGTAATATGCCTCATGGTAAAATTCTGTTCAAATTTATAATCAATTTACCTTTACTTTGACATGTTTTCTGTATTCTGTTATATTACATCTGTGGTATTAATAAACCAAGATATTTGAAGTTTTTATTTTTTCAAGATCCATATTCTATGGATCTTTAAAACCATTTCTTATAAAACTAATAAAATTAGATTTCTTAATTAACTTTAAAACCAAATTCTTGAACAAGATCTAAAAACTATTGAGTTACCCAGGAAGCATATCTATCAAATGTATTTATAGTTACATCGTCAGCATAACAGAGTCTTTTTAATTTTGCTTATTCTACTACAAATTATTTTCTATCTTGTCAATCTTTAATCAAAGTAAATATCAAATAAAAAGGAAGAAATTAGATCTCTAATCACCATAATATAGAAATTAGATAAATCCATAAATATTGTTACCTTACCTTTCTTATATCCACTAAAATTGTGTTTAATTTCTTTAATTGGTCAACCATAGGGTATTTATAGCAGAAACATTATTTGATATATCAAATTACAGCATGGACTAACTCTTCTAAAGGCTTTTCCTTTTACTTGATTTTGTCATCTATGAGCTCCAGCCTAAGGTAATTATTTGGGTAGAGAATTAGAGGCATCATCATGTCCACAAATTTTGGTTACTTCTTCCTAAAGTTGTGTCACAAGTGACGCCAACCCTCATAATTAATTTAGACTTAATTTAATTTTTTTTCTTTTACATATCGACTAGGAAATGATTATAGTATTTATCCTTCAATTCCTTTCTCTTATAGGTTGCTATTTTAATAAACGAATCTTGAAATTAATCTTTTATTTGTGATTAAGATGGGTTCATTAATATTTCGCTTGCAAAATTTCTATGTATAAATTTATTAAGGATTAAGAACAATAGGCTTGAATCTTTTGAGTATTAAATGAATTCGATTAAGGATTAAATTATTTATTCTTTCCGATTTGGATTCCTCAAAAATTCTTAAGTTTTTTATGATAAATGGAATTAATTTTAGATAAATGTCCTAATTTTATTTAATACTGTTCGAATCCTTATTTATCTTTACAATTCAGAAATTAGTTTAAAAGCCCCAAATAGATCATTTTCTTGAAAGCTTCTATGTTCCTAGAAAGAATTTAATTAATGAATTCATCAATAGTGATAATTTTGTAATAGCAAATTTAAAAAATAATCTAATAATTCCCCATCCTTTTAACAAAAAGGCACTTGACAATTTTTAATTTAATTAGTTAATAAAATTAATCCTTTTTATATTAGTGTTTATCTAATCGTTAATAATTTTCACTGAGCAATGTACTAATCGGTTATGTTTATATTGTAAATTTCCAACTTTTTCAGAAATTGTTAGATATTTTTTTTTCAAATTAATACTCAAATTTCAAAAGATTAACTTTCACTCTTTTGATATTATTTTTATATAATTCTCTTCATATATATCAGAGATATCACAACATTATTATTTCTCTTTTTTAGTAGTATTATCATTAATTTACCTAGAGTTGAAAAAATGGCTTGTAGCTGGTCTTAAAGAAAATTATCACCGAAATCTAATAGTGTCTTGAAATTACACCTTTTTGCTGAACTATAAATTTTTATAATAAAAAAAATAATTCAAATTTTACTTTTAATTTGTGTAAAATTTATTTATTTCAAAATTCAATTTTAAAATTAAGCCTTGAAATTGACTTTTCTTAAAAATTCAATTTCTTCATCCCATCTATTCATATTCTATAGAGTCACTGCTACAAACATATACGGTTTACTTTTTACCTTTACCATAATAGTAATCCTGATTTAATGGACTTATCTAGATTGCTAAATCATAATAATTTAAAGCTTCTTCAAATTGATTCATTTTATCTAAAGTTATTGCTAAAGTGGCTATTGTTTATATTACCTCTATTGTAGAAGTAACTTGAATTTTCTGGATTTTTCTCTATAGCTGAATCATAACATTGCAATGCTTCTTCAAATCTATTCATTTTATCTAAAGTGTTTGCTTCATATTATTCTTATTAAATTCTACCTTTGTTATTATAAAATTCTGGGTTCTCTGGGTTCTTCTCAATAGCTAAATCATAAAATAATAATGCTTGTTCGTATCTTTCTATTTTATCTAAAGTATTTGCTTTATATATTGATGTTATATATAAACCTTTGTTATCATAATAACCTGGATTTTTTGGGTTTTTCTCAATAGCTGAATCATAACATAACAACGCTTCTTGAAATCTATTCATTTTATCTAAAGTATTTGCTACATATTATTCTTATTAAATTTTACCTTTGTTATTAAAAAATTCTGGGTTCTCTGGGTTCTTCTCAATAGCTAAATCATAATAGTATAATGCATCTTCATATCTGTTCATTTTATCTAATGTAACCGCTTAGAGTAGGGATATTCAAATTACCTTTGTTATTATAAAAATTTGGATTTTCTGGGTTTTTTTCAATAGCTGAATCATAAAATTGCAATGCCTCTTCAAATCTATTCAATTTCGTTAAAGCAATTGCTGCAAAATTTTACTAGTCCAAAAATACCTTTATGATTATAGGAGTCTGAATTTTTTAAGTCATTCTAAATAGCTGACTCATAAATTTTTAGTGCCTCTTCTAATCTATTCATTTTATCTAGAGTTATTGCTATGAAAGGTTTGCATGATTTATGTTACCTTTATTCAACAAGCTGGCTGAATTTTCTGGATTATTCATAAAAGCTAGATCATAACATTATAATGCCTCTTCAAACCTGTTGATTTCGGTTAAAGCATTTCCTAAAATATTGAAGTAAAGATACACCTTTGTTATGATATATGATTGAATTTTGTGGGCTAATCAAAATTGCTTAATCATAATAAATTAATGCTTCTTCAAATTTATTCATTCTGCTTAAAATCATCGCTACAAATGAATCATTTTTAATTCACCTTTATTAAAGAAATAATCAGAATTTTCTGGGTTTGCAGAAATAGCTTAATCATAATTGTTCAATGCCTCAGAAAATTTATTTAATGTCTTTAAGAGAATTGCTAGTAAAGTTAATACTGTATACCTTTGCCATTATAATATTCTGAGTTTAAAGAGTTTTTATTAATTGCTAAATCATAAAATTGCAATGCTTCTTCGAATCTATTCATTTAACTTAAAGTTTTTGCTTAATATTGTTGAAGTCATGATATACCTTTATTATAATAATAGTCTGAATTTTCTTAATTTTTTTAAATAGCTAAATTATAATGTTCTAATGCTTCTTCAAATCTATTCATTTTCCCTAAAGTATTTGCTGAAATAATATAAAGTAATAATATACCTTTGTTATTATATAAGTCAGATTTGTTTGGGTTTTACAGAATAGCCTAGTCATAAAATTATAATGCTTCATCAAATCTATTCAATTTATCTAATGTATCAGCTTTGTAAGGATTAAAGGACAAAAATACCTTTGTTGTTAAAATAATCTGAATTTTCTGAATTTTTTAAAATTGCCAAATCATAATATTCCAATGCTTCTTCTAATCTATTCATTCTAACTAAAGTATTTCCTACATAATGACACATAAATGTTTTTTACCTTTGCTATGAAAAAATTCTGGATTTTCTGGGTTTTCTAGGTCCTTTTCAAGAACAGAATTATATAATTTTAATGTTTCTTCAAAATTATTCACTTTATTTAAATTATTTACTATTAAAAAGCCATTTGAATTTTAATTTCTATCTTTCTTATTATTCTCATTTTTGAAATATTTTTTCGCTTCAATCAATTCTTCTTTATACTATTTACATGCTTAAATTTTTACAACTATTTTAGAAATTTTCTTGCCTTTTGCTGACTGAATCATAATTGTTTTTGACTTAAGCCCATTTTTCGCTAATATATTTTTTGACAACCACTTAATTAGATTCAATTAAACAATTATGTTTTACACTTAAAATAATCTTTCCTTATAAAAACAACCTTCCCTGATAGCAATGTTTTATTCATTTTAATGTTTTATTAATCTCTATAGATAGTTATATCTAATAAGTAGACTAACATCATTCATAAAAGCCTTTAGGTTTTAATTTTTCATTTATATGCTTACTTCTTTTCTTTTCAAGTCATCATCACTCATAAACATTTTTTGATTCAAAATTATTTTCTTTTAATTATTTAATTTGATAGTTTCATTTAAATATTATGATAGTCAGAATATTAAACTTGAGGCAATCTCTAACATGCATGATATAGATGTAAATAGAGGTTTGATTTTTTTGAATCAAATCTAACAATCAATTATATTTTTGAATCATAAAAATGAAGTTGTAAAAGACAAGATATGAAAGTTATTAATCATTTAACTTAAGCCAAAAATTATGAAATTTTATTTTTTTTGCTGAATAGAAAGTTTTACTATTGAAAGAAATTATTTTTACAAAGTCAAAATAAATAACATAATTAAAAAAAATATCAAAGCACAAAACTTTGCACAGCTTAAACAACTTTGCTTAAATATTTTCTATTTAAGAAAATGCTGCTGTCATATTTATTCCAATTGAATTTTTGATTAATTTTTTTTTCATTAATTTAATCCAAAAAAATAGTAATTTTAATATATTCTCTTAAAAATAACAAAACATTTAATACAAATGAACTCTAGTTTCTAAAAAATTAGTAAAAGTACTATCATGATTAAAGGACTTTTTTTTTGTCAGAATTAATTTTAAATCCTCTTAGAATTATAAGAATAAAAATGGATTAATTCATATTTCCTATATAACCTTTCTATTCACTAAATGAAATGGGGATAAGTCTTAAGAAAAAATTAAACTAGTCTTCCAAAATTTTACTTACTATATTTCATGTTTATATACTCTTTTAATCTACAAAAATTATAAGTCTTTTCGTATGGTCTGAATTTATTTCCCCTAAATAGTTCATATGATTTTTTCTATTTAACCCGTAATTTTTGTGAAGCATCATCACTTCTATCTATTTACTTAAGTAATTTCTTAGGCTATAAAGCCCCATAATAATAGTTCAGAACATTTTAATTCCTAAAAGTGGAACCATTAAATATATTATTATAAGTTTTTAACTTTTTACTTGCAAAAAAAACAACTGATTATTATTATTACACTTTAAAGTGAGTAATTGTAAAAATCACAAAAAGAATTAATACACTATTTTTATAAAATGAAATAATTTAAAGACGCATCCAATTTTTATCTTTAAAAGGGTTTATGTTAAAATGGAAAACAGATGCTGAATATTATTTCCAATTTAGATTTATGAAATTCAGTTGAATAATTTAAACTTTAAAGGCATAGCTAATTTTTTGTAATTGGATTGAGATATGCAGTACATGGATGCAAAAATATTCTAATGGCTACCCTTAAAAGTCTTTAAACTTTTTAACTTATGTGCAGAAGACTCTTATCCATCATCAAAACAAATTTCCTCCTTAATAATGTTAATAAAGTCCTTTAATAAGATAAATCAGATGTAGAGTATATGTAAACTAATTTGCATAGCCTTACATGGCTCAATTAGCTATAAAACCATTCGAGCCATTTCTTCAAAGATTCATGATTTTTTTTTTCATTATTTAACATCTTCGCAATACTTTGATGAGCGAATATCTTTTTTCAAGGTTTTAATTATTTTATATTTACTTTATCTAAAAAGACAAAGTTGACTTTTTCAGTATTTTGGCTTAAGTAAGGAATTGAGTATTAATAGATTTTTTATAGAATCTTAATTTACCTTTTGATTTGACTATTTGAGTTGGCATTTAAATATTTTTTATTTAGAATATAGACTATTATTTGTAAATTGTATAATATTTATGATTTTTATAAGTAACTCATTTTTTTTGCACAATTTTTGAATCTTTTTATTTTAATTTAACAATTATTTTTTTACAATCATGATTCATTTTTCTGACACATTCATTACTTAAATGACTTTGTTGTATATGGCAAAGATGATAGAAAAGTTTACATATAAAAGAACAAATGTTATGACTCAAATGTTACCTTTGTGTCAGTATCTTATAATTATAAATTTAAAATTTACAAATTACTTAATTTTTCATTCATTTAAAATATCAATATTATTGTTAAATAAATTATGTTAATATAAATTGAAAATTACATACATAAAAATAGTTACTTTCATCAAAAATACAATGTATTAAAAAAAAAATAAAACACTTAATGAGAAAAAAAGGATTATGTTGTAGATTAATAAATTAATAACTAATACCTATAGAAAAATATATATGAAAAATAAACTAATTTTCGAAATAATGATTTACTTATCATTAACAAGATATAATTAAATTTTCTAGAATTTCTAATTTTCCAAAATACCTAAATCTATTTACTCGAAAAGAAGTTTAAGATATATAACAATAATAAGAAAAGCAAGCTTAATACTGTATATCTTATAAAATGTCAATGCAATTCAAAAATTATTTAAAAAATAATTAACAGAAGATTTTCATTAACTTATTACTTCAAAAAATAATAAATTAGTTAAGAATCTTTGCAACAAAGCGAAATTCTCGCTACTGCAGAAATATATATATTTACTAAAAAATTATCAAACTCATATTAAACAATTACATAATAGGGGGAAGTACCCTGATTTTGTAAGAAAGTTTTCAATAAATCATAATAATATAAATTGTGATTTTAATAAATTGAAAAAAGTAATTGACCTCAAAAGTGAAAGAAAGCTAAAAAGTTAGCTTTTTTTCTCAATTAGCGAAATATTGAATAAATAAAAATATTTGCTTAAATAAATGAAAATTTCAAAAATGAAGTGCATAAATATATTCTAAATGAAAGTTCTCAATAAATTAATGTTGGAACTTTCACAATAAAGATAAAAACTGAATTTAACCTCTAATACGAGAGAATGAGGCACCTAACATGCATAATTATTGAAAAAAATCATCATAGATAAATGATAAGATAAATTTTAAATCAATAGTAAGTAAAGAATGATCTTACTTTTTCTCTTAATTTATAATTCTAAATTAACATTTTTGAAGAGCTCTGTATTTTTTAGTTTTGATTATATTTAGTTCATTGAATATATTTGAATTATTTTAATTTGATTCAAGAATATTAATCCTAAAAATAATAGATTAAAACTTCTTTGATATTGGTCTTAAAAATGAAAATAAATTTATATTAATGTAGTTTTGGAAATTCATCTTGCTTATACTTTTCATATTGAAAATTAAATCGTCTCAAATTAAATTAAAATTTAGAATTTTTTTATTCAACAAAAATGGGTTAATCAAAATCTTTCAGGCATCTTCTAAGCATCCAATCCATATTTCTTATTTTTTTACAATTAAATTATATTTTTCTTTATTTTTTAATTGATTAATTAATACATGGAATATGAGATTGAAAAGGAATACTTCCAAATGAAATACCTTCTTGTTATTAAATTGATGCTCTTAAAAAGCATGAATGATGGATTGAAATTAGTATTTTTTTGTAAGTTTTGAACTTAAATATATACATATTTTCAAAATTATAATTATTTTATTCATCAATTTGAGGAAAATGAAGATCATCAAATAAATAATTTGTTTAATTTTCATTACTTATAAATACAAAATTTGAATTTATCTTTATCCATCTATATCTTACCTTTGAATAATGACAAAATCAATTATCTAATAATTGCGCTTTAATGATTTATGCAGCCTATTCAAAATTTATTTCTACTTATATGATTCTATATCAATAGAATAATTTTATAATAATATTTATAATATATATTATAAATGATTGATATTATTGTTTTATAGGAAAGTTATAATTAAAATCAATCAAAAAATTGTTCTAACTATTTTTCAATTAGAGTACAATATTAATTGTCAATTAGTACAGGTGTTTCAGATCGAAAAAAATAAATATATAGGGTTTAATTTTCAAATTTAGAATGAAACTATAAGAATGTTAAAATAGGTTACCCATCCCGTTATTGAAATATCAGATTCATAATTTCCTCTTCCTTAAATAGAGTTAGCCTTGAATTCACCTATGTATCTTGTATTATCATTAAAAATTAATTCCCCTTTTCCGTGCATTTTTCCTTTACACACACTTCCTTTGTATATGCACTTATTTGCATACTCAAACTGTCCATGGCCTTAAATTTTACCTTCACTAAACTGCCCTTTATAAATTGTTCCATTTTTTCTAATTTCAGTTCCCTCTCCTGTTAATTTATTATTAAGCCAAAATCCACTCACTTATTTTTTAGAGTTCACAAATCTTCCCAATCCATTCGCAATATTATTAAGAAAATTACCAACAAAACTACTTTTATATCTAATATTTACTAATCTCCATTAGGATATATCATACGAGCTCTTCCAGTCAATTAATTATCAACCCAGGTCCTAAGGAATGAAAATTTGTATTAATACCCTTCCAATAAGTTCCCTTCCTTTGGCCAATGCTATTTTCCAACACCTTGTCTTTTCCCATTGACTACTTATCCAAAATATATGCTTTGGTCTTGCATAAGCAAATACTGGCCTTAAATATTTTAGAATAATTCTCCAAGTTCATCATATACTTCCTAGACTTTAGGAAGAAAATCGCCTAAACTGCATATATTCATTCCAATTTATAGGAATTAATCTTAAGAATCAGACAGATCTGCTTCTGTTTATATAGTTGTATGATTATCTTAAATATTTTCCAAAAGTACATTAGTCTGGTAATTTAATATTAAATTGCTTTATGTCCTACTCTTTATTTGTTACACAACCCATTTTAATTGTATACAATAATTTTATATAAAAACAAAACCAATCAAATGTTTAACTTTTTATTAATCCAAACTTAATTTACTTAGATATCTTTTAACTAAACACTATTTACATAAGTTTTAATTCTATATATGAAATCAGTATTTCTATTTATCGATCTTAAAACTTGTAAATGATTTAGGTCTAAGATTTGATTTTCTTTATTTTGAGTTTTTCTAATAACAAAGAATTAAAGTAAAACAATATTTGAATATTTTATTGATTTTGTTAGAGATAAGTAATAATTTTTTCGATATTTAATTCTAAAAATATCCAAAAATTCTAAAGTTATAAATTCAAACAAAAATAATAATTAAGGATAATTAGAGAGCGATTGAATAGTTCATCTTTAATAATTTATAGAATTAAGATAAAGGATTTATCATTAATCATTTATCTATTTTAGTGATCAAATATATTAATTACTGAATTATTTATATAATTAAATGAGTTTAACACGAAATGGGTCTAAAATGTCAAGACATGGAAGATTTACTAATTCTCAAATATTGGATTTAAAGAAGAATAAAATATTTCCTCAATCCAGTAAACATTCAGATTCTCCAACTGGAATTTTTATGAGTGCATCAAAAGCCCCAGATTATGGATAAGCGCATTTATTAAATAATGATGCACTAAAAAACAAGATCAAAGAAAAGAGAATCCAAAAATCAATTGATACTGAAGTGTTATTGAATAAATTGGTTACTAGAGTAGAATCTAAAATTGCTTAATCTCCCTTTAAAAAGAAGATGTTGGCAATTAATCCAACGATCGAAATTCCTTCTCAATTAAAACCATATTCCCTTACTCCATAGTCTCGAATATCAACATTCTAAATCTAAAGTCCAACTTCGAAGCCTAGATCGTCAAGCCAAAACAAAAGAATAGAAATTTATTATTTAAGTAAATTGTAAAAAGCATTTGACAGCAATGGATCAGACTACTTTTCTCGTATTTATCGAGAACATTTCCATCAAACTTATTAAGGATTAAATCATAGATTTTTTCCCTAAAATAATAATGATTATAATAGATCAAATAAGTTGACAAAAAAGTGTTAATGTAAATTAAGTTTAATAAAATAGAATAAATAACACTTTTCTTTGATTTGGATGAAACATTAGTACATTGTAATGAAAATCCATCAATGCCTTGTGATGTGATATTGGATATAAATGTATCAAAGAATCAAATTGTAAAAGCTGGAATTAATATTCGTCCTTATGCAAAAGAATTGTTAAAAAACTTATCTAAAAGTTTTGAAATAATAATTTTTACAGCTTCTCATAGTTGCTATGCAGAAAAAGTATTTGTAATTTTATGATTAGGTTTGTAATTTTTTGGATCCAGAGTAAAGTATTATAAGTCATCGTTTGTATCGTGATAGTTGTACTCTTACAAATAATTCATTGTACACTAAAGACTTGAAAATCTTTTGTGATAATACAAATAGACCATTAAGTTAAGTAGCTTTGATTGATAATGCTTCTTATTCATATGCATGGTAATTGGATAATGGAATTCCAATCATTCCATTTTATGATAATAAGGAGGATAAAGAATTGTTAGATTTAGAGAAATATCTTAAAAATATGATAGGAACAATAGATGTTAGAGAATTCAATAAAAGTCATTTAAAATTAAATCTGTTCATAGATCAAAGGGGACCTTACAAAGTATTAGAAAATTTGTTTGGAAAGTAACAATAACCATAATGAACATCATTTATCTTTTTTAATTATATTGTGAAAAAATCTGTCTCTATCTATAAAAATTAATTGTCACAAATTAAAGGTGAATTTGATTTTAAAATTAAAGATTTTAAATATTCTTTAAAATGTCGTAAAAGAAAGCTTAAATTTAAGTGGAGTATGCAATTCTAATAATTTAGATAAAAAGTGCCAGAGAGTATTGTTAAGAAAACATAAAGAGATTCAAAATTAAGAGATCTTGTTGTTAAAAGAAGAGCAGAAAGATTGGGATAAAACAAAGCAAGAAGAGCTTAATTAGAGAAGAATGCCTAAGCTTATGAAGCAGAATACAAGGCAACAGAAAAGAGTTTAATTGATAACATTCGTAAGGCAAAGACTGAAGGTGGATTTTATGTTCCAGCTGAGGCTAAATTGATGCTTATAATTAGAATTAGAGGGTAAATAATTAATAATTTAAGTTAGTATCAATACGTTGAACCCATAAGTGAGATAAACTCTAAGACTTTTGAAATTGAGACAATTGCATAATGCTGCATTTGTTAGAATCAATAAAGCAACAATTGAAATGATTAGAAAAGTAGAGCCATATATCACTTATGGATATCCATCAAGAACAGTGATTAAGAATTTAATTTACAAGAGAGGATATGCCAAAGTGAATGGTCAAAGAATTCCATTGACTTAAAATACAATTATTGATTAATAACTTGGAAAATATGGTATTCATGGCATTGAAGATCTTATTCATGAAATCACTACTGTAGGACCACATTTCAAAGAAGCAAACAGATTTTTATGGTATTATTATGAAATTATATATAAAATAGGGCATTTAAATTAAGAGGACCAAGAGGAGGATTCATTGCTAAGAGAAAATCATTCATTAACCAAGGAGATTGGGGAAATAGAGAAGATCTTATCAATGATCTTGCCAAAAGAATGATCTGACAATTGAGTAGATTAATATCAATACAGTATAATAAATACATTAACTTATTAAATCAATGTTATGCAGGATTCAAATTGAAATCTGCTAAGTATATTATATAAAAAATGTAAAAACTATAAAAACAGTGTTATTATAAATAAACAAATAAATATGTCTGAAGATTGGACTACTAAATAAATTGACAAATATATCATAGTCAATAAGAAGTTAGGGAGTGGAGCCTTTGGTACTGTGTATAGAGGATTTAAAAAAAATGATGAAACAAAACAAGTTGCTGTGAAGGCAATTTCGATAGCTGTAATAATATATGAATAATCATTTAGAGTATCAAAGATTCGGCCAAGATGGTAGAACATATTAAAAGAGAAATTTCAATTTTATAATAGGCTAATAATCCTCATATTGTCAAATTATATGATGTTGCTCGAACACCACATTATTTGTATTTATTCTTGGAGTATTGTCATGATGGAGACTTAAAAAAGTATTTATCAACTAAATATGGAAGAAGGCTTAGCGAAGTATTATATTGATTTATTTTTTAGGTTGAAGCAGTAATTTTCTTGAAGCATTTAGTTGAAGGATTTCGAACACTTTACTAACTTAAAATTATACATAGAGATATAAAGCCAGCCAACATATTATTGCATAAAGGAGTTGCGAAAATTACAGATTTTGGCTTTGCTAGAGTAATTGATACTGGAATGAACGGTAATACATTCATCCATATAAATTAGATCCCGCTTACTTTTCAAGAGTTGGATCACCTCTTTATATGGCTCCACAAATACTTGAAGGTTAGCCATTTTCATCTAAATGTGATGTTTGGTCTATGGGAATTATGTTGTTTGAGATGCTATATGGCAAACCACCTTGGGATGGAGATAACTAATATAGTCTATTACAAAATATTAAGAAAACTGCCTTAGTAATACCAGATGCTCCTGTTAGAAGTGATAAAATCAAGCAATTGTTAAAACATATGTTAGTTGTATAAGAAAAAGTAAATCAATTATCATTATCTTTAGGATAGGTACTCATGGGAATAAATATTTCATCATGAAATCATTCAAATCCAAGAAGCATAAATTAAAAATAATTTAGAATAATTGATGAAAGAAAAGGATGAATTATCAAGATCAGAGAGTTTAAATAAATTATATATGGAAATGAATTTAGTTGTTGGATATCTTGATTAACCTGAATAAATTATACAAGAACCTTCCTCTCCTTAATCTGCTTAGAGTACTGAGGAAAAATAATCAATTGATGATATTAATCATGAAAAAGTATTCCATATTATATTATTAGGGATTACAAATTATAAATCAATATGATACTGAATAAAAAAGACGCAAAGCTATGCTAAAATATAATACATATTTTTTATTTGAAAGAAATATTGCATTCTTTTTTAATTATGTCATCCAAAAGGTAATTAAGATGTCACATCAAGGAATTTTGAAATTAAGTTAAGAACTTTACTATACGACAATATTTTGTATCTCCAAAAACTAAAATGTACATCTCAAAAGAATGTCTGATTAATTAATGTCCAAAAACCCAGAAAAATTTGATAGAGAAACTTGGGGAAGATATTTAATCAGTTAAGAATATAAAAAAATATTAACTGTTACTAAAAATGATATTAAACATACAGAAGATTTTTATTTAGAAATTTATAAGAAAGAAAAATAAATAATTGAAAAGGAGTTAGCCTAACCTGATAATAAAAGAGCATCAAAAATAAAGTAAGTATTAGATGTTAATTTTGATTAAAATCCATTCTTTTAACAATTATATTAATAAGTTGTGTAAGAAAGTTTAGAAACTATTAAATCTACAATCAAGTAAACTAAAGAAACTGATTCAGTTTATAAAGATTTATTGTAATTAGGATGGTTTTTAGTTATTTGCTTAAATCCATATTTAGAATTTAAAGATATTAATATGGATTTTAATTAGTTTTATGAGGAAATGTAAACATTAACAGAAGCCTAACTTTAAGAAAAAATTGGTAAACGTTTAGATTTATGAGTTTTTATATCAATATTATATTAAATATCTGATAACTTTATCTCATTTAAAAATCATGGTTTGCTATTTAATCGTAATTAATTAAAAGGTGATTGAATTGGTGACTAATTTTGGAACTAGAATTTACCCTGTATTTGTGGTGGAGTTTGATTATTCACTTAATTTGGCTGTTTTGATTGTTATTATTAAAAAGCAAAAGGAGGAGCTAAACTGTTTTAGTTAAATGGTTAAAAATTTGCTGATTACTTTTATGGTTATAGGGTCCCAAAGTTATTTGGAGGCACAAACTATTATTTAGGAATTAAGTTTTCCTCTGTTTGTTTCTAACTTTATTTTACATAATTAAGGAAATCTTATTGAGGAATATTTTTGCCTGTTATTTAACAATTTTCAAATATTGGAACTCCATAATTAAAGGATCCTTGAATAATAATATTTTAATCTGATAAATGGAGAGAACCCTAACCATGAAATACATTATTTTGCCAGGTTCCTGTATATTTGTTTTCCTTATGGTCGTTAGGCTTCCAAATATATGTGCCTTCTCCTTATCTCTTTTCATTATAGAATTTCCCTATATATTCATGCTATGTCTAATTCTCATCAAATGAAAACATTTCTCCAATTCCATTAATTAAGAATTCCTCATTTATTTTTGAGAAGAAACCTTTATACAATGAGAATTAAGTGTTTGAATCAAGTATAACTTTGATACCCCAAAGAAAATCATCCTAATAAAATATACCATAATATAATAAATTCTTTTAATTCCAACATCCAAGTCCAGTTTTTTTTAATTATTTATTATCAAGAAATCCATAATAATTTTATTTTACATCCTTATTTTTATTTTCTGGATTATTAAATTTATCACCAATAATTTTTAAGAAATTTGGAAAGTCAATACAATTTTTTATTTTTTCAACAATTTCAGTAGTTATTCCATTTTATACTGATGATGATAATAATTTTCGACAATAATTAAAAAACTCTTATTCAAAATATTTATCTTACTCAATTCTAAATTTATCAGCATCTAATTTTTCCAAAAAATTCATAGATTTTCCTAAAGTAATAGTGATCAATAAATCATTATATTATCCTTCTTAAAATTCTTGAACTAAAAATAATAATCTAGATATTGATTCTGAAATTCCTTATTCTACTTCTATTAATATCTTCTAAATTTCATTAAATTTCTCCTTACAATTTTTTAACTAATAACTCGATTCCTTTTTTAATATTTGATCATAATCAATATCGTTATCTTTTTTACATATTTCATATATAATTGGTTAAGCCTTTTTTAATTGTTCATTTTGATAATCTCTAAACTTCTCCCTCTTAATATACTCATCTTTCATATTAGTTACTTTATCATAACAATTTGAGCATATTGCTGATTTTAACTCTCTATTCACTTTTTTGACAAAGTACTCAAAACTCTTATTGATACAATAAAAACATTAATTTCTATCATCTTAATTCATTTTAATAAATAATAATAATCGAAATAAATTAATGTATATTTTTAATAACTCAATTATCATCAGTTGTGAAATCAAGATCCTTCTATAATACTTCTGAAACTTATTCAACAACTTCTTTTTCAACTTCTTAATTTGCATCTTAAAGAGTGATTGTTAATCTTTTAATTTCTGTTTCTAATCTACTTTGCATTCTTTAAAATCTCTTTCTAATTGAAGGAGATCTAGCTCTTTCATCTTCTTTCTCTTCAATTTATTGTTTAAATTTTGGTTGTGGTTGAGTAGGTTTAAAATTCAATTTAAAAACTTTAGATAGATTATTAGGAATGCTTTCTTCTATTTCTAGTTCTTCAATAAAACCAGTTTCTACTCTAAATAACCATCCATGTACCATAACAGCTAAAAAGGATAAATTAATATATTCATACGATGTCCATCTTGCCAAGATTTTTAAACAATTGGATTTTTCCATACATTAAGAACTTATTCTCTAACATTCATATGAGCTAGACATGCAACTCTATCATCTTCATTCTCTAATTAATTGATTAGATCTTAATGTTTTTCATAAACTAATTTCAAGTTATTCAACCATAAATCAAGTAATCCTCCAACAGAATCTTATTTCATAGCAGCTTTAACACCTCCACAAAAAGTATGTCCCATAATTACAATATTATGAACTTTTAAATGCTCAATGGCATATTGGATTACACAATTAATCTAAGAAATTCTTAATAATATAAATACATTTAAATCAGTAGGAACAACTACATTAGCAATATTACGATGAATAAAAATCTCTCCAGGATCTGTTTCTGTAATTTCATTAGGTGGAGCTCTGGAATCTGAGCAACCAATCAATAAATATTTTGGATTTTGCCCTTAAGCAAGTTTTGTAAAGTATTCTGGGTCTTCAGCAGTCTTTTTAGCAACGTAATTTTTGTTTCCTTGTAACGCCTTCGCATATTTCTTCATTTCTGAAATACTCTCATGAACTATTTGATTCTACATTTTAAAATTATTTGATTATTGGTAAGAACACACTGAATATCAATAAAATAAATAGCATATTAATTAATAAATAAGTCTTAGTGATGACGTTCTTGATTTTCATCCTAACATACATAAAAAATAAATAAAAATAATTCACTAATACATTTAAATCAATTATTTGTGATATATTTGAGAATAGTTTAATTACCTTTCTATCTATTTAATGCAAATTTCGACTATTTTATTGCAGAAGATTATTGATGATTTAATTATGGTGACTAAATATCAAGAGAATGAACACTTCCAATAGTATCAATTCTTCCTTTAAATAAAGGTGATTGGCCAGATAACAAAATAGTTGAATCAATCTCTTTTTATTTTTTTCCTGTTTCCTTCATGATAATTCCTGGAGAATCATCTGATGATGAATTTGGAGAATTCAGTTATCTACTTGCTTCAAATACAAAATATCTAAAATATTTATTGATAATACTATTAATTAATTTAATTTATCCTTAATCCAACATCAATATCCTCATCAATTTCACCTAAATCATTATCACTATCCTCATTGATTTCTGTCTCTTAAATTTTCTTTGCAATATCATTTATAAATGAATGATTTAAACAGGTAGATACATCTATTCTTAATTTAGGATCCTTTTCTAACATTTTTTTTAATAAATCCATAGCATCATCTGGTAAGTTTTTTAATTATTTAATTGAAAAATCAATAATTGCTTATCTATTTTATCTCACCATTCTTTTATATGTTTTTGCCAAAAAAGCTGGTTTTCCAGATAATAATATATAAAAAATAAGACCTAAACTAAATATATCACAAATTTATGAATATTTTTATTTAGTATCTTTCATATTTATTACTTCTGGAGCTACATAACCTGGAGTTCCACATCTATAAAATAAATATTAATTTTTATTAACATAAGTAGCCAACCCAAAGTCTGCTATAACTACTGATTACAATTAACTTATATTTATTCTTCAATTTACTTCTTTTATTTGAATAGAATATTTTCTAATTTTAAGTCTCTATGCATAATGCCTTATTAATGCATTTCTTACAATCCCAACAAGAGACCTGCAAGTATTTTTTAGACTTCTTATAATTACAAGGACCTTTTATCCCTCATCAAATCAAATAATGAACCTCCAGAGAGCAATTCTAGTACCATATAAAGGGAATTTTCAGTTTCATAGACTTCATACAATTTCATTAAATGTTAATTATTTAAATCCCTCATTATTTATATTTCATTTAATATTGACTCCTTTCCATTATTTTCACTATAAGCCACTTATTTTGAAAATGCTTTTACTGCAAATTATTATCCGTCTTCAATTCTTTCTGCAAAATAAACCTTTATTAATTAATAATTAATCGTTAATACTGTTGCAAAATTTCCTTTTCCTATTTTTTTTAAAACTCTAAAATATTGATGAAATTTGTATTAATTTATCCTTAAACGCAAGAAATCTCTTAACTCCTTGATTAAAATCTCTCCTCCTTCTAATTTTGAATTAATCATCTTATTTCCAAAATCTAAAAGAAATTAAATGCCTATTATTTAATTTAAACAGTCTTTATCCCCATTTCTATTATTCTACAAATAAATTATTTCAAATTTTGTATCAAAATCCAGTTTTAGGTATTTATTGGCTATATCGCCAACCTAAAATTAAATATTTTAAATATACTTTTCCATACAATATAAATTAATCGAAACAATATAATACTCTTTGTTTACCATTCTGCTTATTTAAAATTAGTTTCATCACTTCATGGTTATTGGTTAAATTTATATTCTTCGGTATCCTAATCCAAATTTTTTAATTCATTAGTATTTTAATAAAATATTTGATATCGACAATAATCAAGAAATTATATTTAAATAAATTAATAGATTTTTAATTGAAATTATCTTCACATACATAATTCAAAAGACAAATAAAATAAATTACCTAAATTTTTGAATAGAATTTTCTGTTTTAATATTAAATTCACAACATATTATTTTACTAATAATTCATCAAGCTAGTTCATAAACCAAACAATCATGTTTATATTAACTTTGGGAGTATAGCTCAGTTGGGAGAGCGTAAGACTGAAGATCTTAATGTCATGGGTTCGATCCCCATTGTTCCCATTTTTTTTTAATTTTACTTAAATAGATCAAGTAATATTTTATAATTGATTAAATATTTAAATATATACTTCTGTTGATAATAATATGATAAATTAAAATAATAAACCATTTAAGCAATAGATTATAAATAAATAATATATCAAAGTTCATATTCATCATCAGAGATCTATCCCTTAAACTTTCTTACTCTTTTGTTCCATTTAACTAAGTTTAATTTTATTTGAATACTTTCATGTTTAGATATGTAAGGATCTTACAACAATTCTTAAACTGTTAATCTGATAGGTTCATCTAATTCTTTAACTTCACATATTGCTAATTAATTAACAGTTGTTTATGCCAAAGTATCTAAATTACTTAAAATGATATCATCTGAATCTAAAAAAGAATCAATAAAATCTCTATGGATTTGAACTGTAACTTTCAAAATAGTTACTTATATTGATTTTAAATACTTGGCCATTAAAATTTATTCTTTTTATAGTATTTTAACATCTAGAGAAATAATAAATTTAAATATTACTTTCAGTCATATTTTTTTTAATTTTCTTTTTCAAAGGTACTTATGCCATTTAATTTAAATACTTTAGACTTTTTTTTCTGTTTCTATCAGAATATATTGATATATTAAAACATTCCTTTACTTATCCATTTTACAATAAACAATTATTTTTGAGAATTTATCTTAGTTTGACTTCTGAAACTTTACTTATAAGTGAGAAAAAGTTCTTTTATTCAAGTTCTTCTTTTGAATTTAATTCTAAAATGTTTCTGGATATTTAATCAGATAGAACTAACATAAATAAATATATATACTAAATTATCCTTGATGATTAAGTATCATAATACCAACATTTGTGGCATTACATTTAGTTTTGTATTCTAAAAAATTATTTGTATTAGCAATAGCTGTACGATCAGTTGATAATTAACCTTAAAGAAAATACTGTAATTCATTCAATAACTCTTCTTTGTTTTAATCTTTTTGTGAACATAGTCTTAATTAATAAACGATCTCCATTAAAGCCATAATTTCTATTTAATTCAATTTATTCATGCTCATTATATTTTATTTTATTAATTTGGCATCATAATCCTTATTCTTCATCTCTAGCATTTAACTTAAAGCACTAGTAAACATTTTAAAGATTTTATTATTGTCAATAGGTACTAAATTTGCTACTTATAAATCTGTTGGACTGAAATTTGATTAATTATTAATTTTACTAAAACATTATACTAAATTTCAAATTATAACGAGAATTCATATTAAATTATTTGAATTATAGATATATTTATTTTATCTTTAATCGATAGTCCCAATCTTCTTTTTAAATAATCCATAAACTTAAATCAATAAATATGTTAATATCATAACTTTTTACAAAACTCAATTTTCAACTAAAAATTTAGCTCGAATTTTATCTTAATAACTGTTTAATACTACTCATATGTAAATGTAAATATTATATTAAAATTTTGATAAATAAATTTTTGTATTAATCTAAAGAAAATAACAAAAAAATTTTTTATTTTGATTTCAAACTTATGAAATAATAAGTATTTGAGATGGATATCAATTATTTTTAATAATAATTTGAGAAGAAAATAATGAAATTTTTTCTCAATTGTTTATTTAATAATCTGAAAAATCATTATATACAAAAAAATCTTAATAAAATTAAAAATTATGTCATCATATATATATAACTTAGTTATCATTTGAAAAATAATTCTTTCATTGCAAAGAATTAAACACTATCTGAAACAGAATTATTTTTAAATCTTTTCTATTTAATAATATATAAAAGTTTTTCAACTAAAAATTTGTAAAGCTTTGTGTATATTGGAAATTAAATATTTTCTACAGAAATACATTCATTAGATTTTCTAAATGTTGCTTAATGTTAAAATAAATTAATTATAGCTGCTTAAAAGTCAATAATAGTTTCTGATAATATCATACTATTTTTTTAAAATAATTATGTCATCAAGTACTCTTTTTTGTTACTAAATAAAAAGGCTTTTATGTCATAAATAATTCTATTCAATTATTTTAAGATAATATTAATAAGGAATTATGAACAAAATAAAATGAAAATAGGAATGACTAAACTCAATATTAAACTGTTACGAATATCTGTTCGAAATATTGAGGCTAAAATTTCCAAAAATTCTGCTTCTTATTTTAATATAAAATTTGTCTTTAATAGCATGACCATTATGAATGGAGAATTAGAAATATTTTTGGTTTCAATAATAAGATTATCTCTACTTAAAGAGTTGAATCTACACAATATATTTGTGGAAATGATATTCTTACAATTACTTTCAAATTCTTTTTAATAGTGATGTTAAAATATCTATTCAAGGTCAGAATTGTTGAATCCAGAAAACTCAGATTCATTTAAATGATATAAGGGTTGGCTTTTAATATTATATAGGTCTGACAACAATACTTTACCAGTCTTATCGATTATTAGAATTTTTGTATCATTACTATTAAATTTAGATAGATCTTCATAATTTAAATCAATGCCCTTCACAATAATACCCATAACATCATTGGCTTAATCAAGTAAATTAGTAGTCATAGGAAAATTGATTACATTAGTGATAACCGTATATGGATTAACAATATAAGTGGCTTTTGGATCAGTGGCATTAGCAGATGCCTTTAAATGATCTAGATAGTATTACCTTTTAATAGGACTAAAGGTTTTTGGAAACTATAATCCAATAGTAATACAATATAATTATGATGAATTGTTATTGTTAAAATAATAGATAGGAACAGCACTATCTAATGTAAATTTATATGATGTTAAAACTGAGGTAGTTTATAAGATGCTATCAACTCCTAAATTTTATAAACTATTTATTGGTTTTCCAAAGAGACCACATGGAACTGAGCTAGTATAACAATAAGTATCATTTTGTTTAGGGTCATTTAAACACATCATTGGATATTCTTTAACTTTGAAGCTGTTATTTATCAATAGAGAATCAAAGAGCTAGTTGAAATCTCTGACAAAAGAAATTTATTATGCAGTGTGTAATAACGTTAATTCTAGACCTCTTTTGTATACCCACTGATATTCTAAAGAATTTTTAGTTTGTTTCAAAAATATTTGATGTGAAAATAAGGTTAGCATCTCATGTAAGTAATTTTATGAAACTAATACTGCAATTGTTAGAATAGTAAAGATAAATAAATAAACAATCAGAGATGCAATAAGTATTTAAGTTTTAATCTTCCAATCCTTTTTTAAATACCACTTTGGTTGATTCTTTAATTAATTAAGTATCATAAATAATTTAATAAGATTAAATAATAGTCATTCTTTAATAAATTGTGTAATCATATATTAATCAAAATGCTAGTAAGTGAAAGTTTAATTACAAATTGTTAGTACTTAATATATAATATTATATCTTAATATATGTATATATATATATATATATACAATGATTAGCATATTATGATGCAAATCAAGTAATCGTTTTCATTCTTTCAGTCTTTTTTTGTATTGCTTATCTTTTAATAACATCAGTTGTAAGATCTTTCATTTTACTTTCATTCAATCCAAGAAACTCTTCTATATTCAAATAACCTCCTCCACTTCTTATCAAAATCTTTCCTTATTCCTATTTAATAAATATCCTTTTGTGTCCATATAAATAAACTCCATCAGATTGTCTTTTTAATAATGGTATATATTTCTCTTTATCAACTCTATTATTAATAAAATTTGCTATTTATTAATCTAAGTCATCTCCCTTTGCTGGTATATATGCTTAATTAGATTCAACAATTTAAGTCATCATAGTTTTCAATTATGAATTGTGTAATTCTTTTTCATCATGCTTTTTACTTAAATCAAAAATAGTTTATCTTAAATTGTTTAACTATTATATTATAAAATATATATATACTTCTTTCATTTAGTTTTCAATTTGGGATTAAAATTAAGTTACTTTTGAATTTAAAGGTTTTAAATCAGGAAAATCAGGGATTGTATATTAAATCTTAAGAGTTTAGAGATTTTATTGAAGTACTGCAATTTTTAAATTTTCAGTTTTTAATTTAGTATTTTCACTCTCCAAAGAATTAATTTATAATAATTATTTTGCAATTTGTTCTTTCAATTATCTAATTTCTTTTTCAAGTTCATCATTTTAATGAAATTATTAAAAACCTATTTATCTTTACAAAAGTGCAATATCATCTTATAATTTATAAATTTATTTATCTTTGTTTATTATATCTTTCTCTAATTAAATATTTAATTATTCAAATATTTAATTTTAACAATTTTTCTATTCTACAAGACTTAATTTAACTTTTTATTAATTGATATAATTATTTAATCCTTCTAATTATTCTTCTTATGATTATATTTTCTATTTCAAAATTTCATTCTCTTATTCTAATTTCTGTTCTTTATCTTTTAATATATTAACCTATTTTATAATTTTATATTAATACTTCTTCATTTTTCAATCTCTAAATTTATTATTGTTTATCCAATAAATCCTTTTCATATTAACTTGATACCTATTATAAAACCTATTCAAGATCCTTCTTCTATTTTGCATAAAGTTAAAGCATCTATTTATTTTGATCTTGATTTTCAATATTTGATTATAAATGTTATATTGTAGCTTATTTATCTTGAATAATTTCATGCATTTATTCAATTTTTAATTATTACTCTATGGAAAGTGATTGAAGATCATCAAATTTCTATTATAATTCAATTAATTCATTAGATTATCGAATATGTTTTTCTTAAAGTGTTTCATTCTAATTTGTTAAATCTTCAGATAATTATGAAATAAATTATTGTAATTACTTTCTTTTTGCTTAACTAATTTCTAATTCATTCAAATAATCATTTCTTTCTCTCATTTTTAATAGTTTATTCTCTTCTTTAACTGTTTCATATTGTTATTTTAACAGTTCATTTTAGTTCTGTTATTTTATGGAATTAGGTTATTAATTAATTAATTATTAAGTCTTTACCTTTTGTTATCTCTCTTTAGTTCTAGTCTTGTATGACTTTAAATAATGTCTCAAAGGACTTTGATGAGATTGATTGGCTTCAAATTTAATATCTTTAGATAGAAGAAATAAAATGTAATATTTTCCCTTCAAGTCTTTTAATTGAAATTAATCAGTAAGTTCAATTTCATCTGTTTACTCTTTGGGTACTGGAATAGTCAACACAGCAATGTTTTCAAATTCAAATAGAATGTGATCAGGAATGTAACTTTGTTTAAGTTAGATAGTATAATTACGAAATATCAAAAAATTATGCTTCTTAAGAAGGTAACTCTAATGATTTTGAGATTTCATTTATTTTAATATTGCATTTGCAATTAGTTTTAGTTTTAATGGCAACAACGCATTTGAAATTCATGAAATTAATTATTATATGTTATTTTTAATATAATTATTTTTTGTTTTCATTTTTTGATAGTAGAGTCATCTTCTGATAAATCCTTATAATCTAGATTAAAATATTATTAATTACTTTAAAGGTATGTTTGAATAAACAATCCATTTTCATTAATAAATGTTTCAGCCTTTTGATAATCTTTACCAACCATATTAAGAATGATTGCTATGTCTTCATCATTAGCTTCTTAAAAATTAAGTTTTAATTAATCAAACAATTTAGAAACTATGATAATTTAAAATGATACATACATTTGTCTTCTTGTTTCTCATATACTCTAATGAATTTTGCCTTTACATTTGATTAAGCATATTGTAATTATTATCTTTCAGCTCCTATTTATACATGTTTAATCTTTTAATAAGAATGTTTAATCGGTTCTTTACGAGACTTGATTACTTTTCTCTTCTAAGGTCTATAGAGTGGTTTAGGTGGTTTTTTGATAACTCTCTTAGGTAATTGAGGGGATGGGGAACTTTCATAATCGTATAACTTTCCTTGAGCTTCTAGTGTATCAAGGTCCAGCAATTTGGCTATTTATTTTTAGGACTGAGTTGTATTAATAGTTTATGTAGGAATTGATTTTTCAATTTTTGGGACTTCCACACATTCTTCATCATCTGAGATAATTATAATTTGCTATTATTAAGTTGGCATTTGTGTCTATTGATATATGGGGGGTTTGTAATGTAGAATATTATAGTAATTGCAATTTTGTTGTTGTATAAATTATGGGTAGAGGTATACAGGGGGTTAGTAAGAGTATTAAATGTATTTATAAGGAAAAGAATGTGGATGCATGTTTGAGTGGCTTATGAATTTTAGTTTTAATTTAATTTTTTTTAATGTTTCAGATTAAGAAAAGGAAATTCGTTTTAAATATCTTATTTAAAAATGAAATAAAATTGATTATTTATAATATCATTCACTAACAAGTTTCATAGTTTCAACAAATTAAGAATCATTTAATATTCCAGAACTTATATCCAAGATACTAAGATCTTAATTTTTTGATCCTTTAAAAATTAAAATATCTCTTTACTTATGCATCATCTATACAAAATACTACCTAGTATATGGAGATCCAATATATATTATTTAAGAAGAACTACTATTCTAACTGTTAATGACAAATATCATAGAGTAATAAGAGAAATTCTAAAAATCTTATCTAAATACACTTCAAATTGTAATCTTATAAACAAGATAATTAATAAAAATGCATAAAATTCTAACTCATTTTCAAACTATTGTGAAGAATTCCTTTAATTATAGTAAAAAATTAAAAATAATAATTTATAATATTCTTCTATTTATTAAAACTTTGAATTTTAAATCTATGCAAATTGCGACAGGCAATAATCCTTCATAAATTAGAACAGGAGATATCTAAGTATATAATCAAATAAAGAAAACTTGTTTCTATTAAAAATGAACAAATTATTTGATTATAAAAATCCTATAAATATTTATAAGCAATATTATGGAGATTATAAATTGAAATAAAACAATATGTAAAAATAATACAAACTTTTATGGATATTTTTGATTATTTATTTTGAATTCATATGAGTCTGTATGTTTTATAAATAAATATTAATCAACATATGTATGATGATTTATAATGGAGATTTAATTATATTCTGCATTCTTGTCATATATTTGAATAATTTAATATTTAATATTATGAATATTGAATAAATTTTAGAGAAATAAGAAAATGCAATTATAGAAAGTGGGTCTTTATTACTTCCTACTTTTTAATATTGGTAACAAAGTAAGCATGATTTGGAGGAGTATTTCTATCTTACGAGAAGTGTTACATCTCTTTGTCACAGTCCATTCAAAAAAGGCATGACCATAATTACATAATTATGTGAACGGACTTGTGATAAGGATAAACAACTTACTCATATTTATGATTTTGTTAATGTGGAAACTATGCATAAACAACTTGAATTTGAATAAGTTTGCTCCAACAAATATTTCAAAAATCATCAAACCACATTTAGAGTTGGAACACATTAAGATATATTTGATAATCTGGTAAGTGATGTGTGTGGATATGGTAGTTCTTCCTAAAATTCAACAATGCGACGCTTATCTTTGAAGACGGACATGATTTACCCCTCAAATTAGAGAAAGCAATGAGTGCATCAATTAGTTCTCATACGATATCATAAATGATCAAGACATTTTTTAGTCCTTAAAAAACACCAACTAAATGGGATTAATAAATGAATAACAAATTAAAATTACTCTCAAAATAATTTCAGTCCAACAATACCTTTTAAGTTTGTACACTCACTTAATAACAATATGATATTTTAATGCCAATTATAGCATTTGGAAATAGAATAGTTTAATATGCATAAGTAACACATTTATTAATTATTAGACTATGAATAATCAAAAGGATGAATTTATTATTGAATCAAATAAGATTGCTTAAATTGTAACTTAATGCACTTAAAAAATTCCAGATTCAGAATTCTTTTAATAATTATAATAATATTTTGTTAAATCTAATGGAACATTTACACAACCTAAATATTCTTGTATAGATTCATCAAATTATGAATAGTATTTAGATTAAATTTACAATTTACCATAAAGATATTTATTTCAATAATGGTATATATTTATAAAATAAACATTTGAATTGTAGGATTCAAATGAATAAGAAATAATAAGTTAATAATAATTAAACAATTAAATACTTATACCAACTACTGATAAGATATCTGTAGATAAATCTATATAAGCTACAGAATAATAAAATTATAGAGATTATAAATTAGTACTATTCATAGATAATATTTAAAATTCATATAATTTAAATCTTTTATGTTTAAGTCCACTTTGTGGAATGAATAAATTATAAAGTAATGGAGTTTAGAATATATTAATCATTACTTAACATTCATATCCTGCTAAATTATATAAAACTGAATTTAATATCCATTTTTAATTTTATCCTTAAATACCAGTTTAAGAATTGAAACTTAATTAAATCCTTATAAGCAAAGTTCAAAATTACAATATTGATTATTTAAATAAAACTGAATAAAATTTTGATGCCATGATACTTGAAATTGGTAAATAGTTCTAATAAATTAATTATTAATTAAATGATCATGGATTTATAACTCTTTTTTCATCTAAATCCTTTATGTAAAAATGTTAGGATATATGGAGTCAACATTCTATATTATCATCTCTTGGTGTAAATAAAGAATTCTAATGGATAAAATATTAGAATGTATTTATTTATTATTATTATTTTATAGAAAAAAAGTATATATGAGATCATACGTCTCTTTCTAAAAAAATGTAGATCTAATAATATTGTTGGTGATACTATGCCTTCAATTTATACTGTATTTAATGATTTATTTTTGGATCAATTATAAGAGGCCATTTAAATATAATTAGATTATTAAATTAAACATCCTTAAACATTAAAAAATTCATCATAAATAACAGTATTTTTATTGGGAGTACCATGGGCTAGTTAATTTATGTATTATTAAGAAAATGGACATGAATAATTACCATAAGTGCAATTAAATCTAAAATTAGAATGGTTAAAGAATTTAAAAAATAATGTAATAAATTCAAATATTAAAGTATGATAGGAAATATTTTAGTATGGTGAATGCAATTAGAAATATCTCAAGATTATAACATATACTTGATTCATTATGTCCATGTAATTTGATAGTTTTAGATGAAAAATTCTAATAGAAATTATTGTGGAAAGATGAGAATTTTCCAAATGTTCTAAGTTTTCCAGATGTTATTAAAGAATTAAAGAAAGTATATAAATAAATTATAAATATTTTAGTAAGTTCCAGTTTTAGTAAGATCTGAAAATTTAAATGAGAATAGAAAAGATACTTAAAAGATTGAAAATAAAAAAGGTTAAATTATTAAATTACATTTCAAATAACCAGTTCAAATTTAAACATCTAAAAGAAAAATAATGTTAAATAAAACATTATTAGGAGATATTTACAATCCTTAAAAGAAATCTCTACCTGTTGAATAATAATGTGAAAAGATTACTATTGAGTAATTAATAGGATAGACTGAAACTAAAGAAACAAATAAATCTGATAATTAATTTGAAATGGAAGAATTGAAATGTGTTATTTGTTGGTCTAATACACCAGATAAAACTATGTGTAAATCTGAAAAATGTGGTCATGTAGCATGTTAAGATTGTTGGAAATAATGGTTATAAACAAAATTAGAATGTCCCTTATGTAGAGCTAGAGTAAGAGAAAAGTTTCTTATAATAATTTGATTGAATTAATTGTTTTTATTTAAATTAGAAATTTAACAACATTTTCTTGTGTTATTGTAATTTATGCATTTCAATTTTGTATATCAAAATATTTTATTAAAATAATATTATTCATTTTATAGAATAGATGGAAATTAGAGATTATAGAAAATTATTTATAGAAAATATATACATATATATATATATAATAATAATAAATAAATATATATAAATGATTCAGAATATGAGATAAATTTAATTAGATATTTTGTAAATAAATGAACGGAGAGAAGAGAATAGTATAATGGAATGAACTAGCAGATCATTGTAATCGTACATCACTTTGGGTTGCTATTGAGGGATAAGTGTTTGATGTAACAACATATTTGGCAGAACATCCAGGAGGTGATGATGTTCTACTTAAATATGGTGGATTGGATGGGACTTAGAAATTTTTAGATGTGAACCATTCTAATTATGCTCGTTCTCTTAGAAATGCTAGATTAGTTGGAACACTTACTACAGATCCATAACCAATTGATTACATAAAGCTTGTGAAATCTAAAAAACAAAAAGTAGGAAATTAAATAATCAAACAATTAGGTTAATGTAAATCCGAATCGTTAAATTTCATGGGAAGAATTAGGATAGCATAATAAAAAAGAAGACTTATGGATGGTTATAGAAGGGAAAGTGTATGATGTTACAGACTTTTAAGATGATCATCCAGGTGGTCCAGCTATCTTATTGGGAAAAGCTGGTGATGATGCAACTGCTGCTTTTCATGATGCAAATCATTCTCAAAGTGCTTATAGGTAATTAGAAAAATTATAAGTTGGAGTAATAACAGGTATAAATAATATGATATATGAAAGGTGTAAAACCAAATGTGAGTGGAAGTGGTTCAAGCACAAATATTATATTTTTAATTCTTTTGATTTTGGCTATTGGTGTAGGAATTTTTGTGATTACAAAATGAGTGTTTACATATACATAAATTATAAATCAAATATTATTAATAATTTAAGTATATTATTATATTAATATCTAAAATTCCTAAATTGATTAATGATTATAAATTAGGATTGTGTATATAATTTTATTCAAGTATGATTTAATTTAAAAAGAAATAACCAAGGAGATGTAAATAATTATAATTGTATTTTTTCTACATAAGCAATATTGTATTAAGAAACTTAAATATAGAGAGATAATAAATTAGATCATATTTATTATGCTTCAACAATTGTATTAGATTAAACAGAACAACAAATTAATAATAAGAATATCATTAAATAATAGAGTCAAATCGTATTTCTTATTTACTTATATTTTTAAATAAAAAATAAAGAATTTTTTATTGAATATTGCCATAAGTAATTATAATAATAATCTAATTTAAATTAATGAATTATTCTATTATTATATTTATACTTGTTAGCAATATATTTTGAAAATAAATGTTTAGTAGATCCCCAGACATTATATAATGCATCTATTAATATTGTATTATTTTATATATTATTTTCTTATAGGTAGCTATAAATTGATCCAAATTATTCTATAGAAATATATATGATTATTTAAAATAAAAAATGTTATTTGATAATCACAAATATAATTTTAACATTTATTAATTGTCTGCATGACATTAAATTAAAAGGGTTATTGTTCTTATATGTTAATTTAGCATTTTGTAGTATTTAATTTAATTTTATCTCAAATACTCATCTAAAATCATCTATTATTTTAGAATAATCTCTTTGGTATTCATTAGTATTTGATTCAAGTACGTATTATTGTAAATAAATATACTTCTATAAATTAATAATCATTAATTACAAGTTCTCCATTTAATAAATTTCTGATAATATAAATAAAGCCATCTATTAATGAAACATTAATTATACTTCTTTTTTGACAGCAACTAATTTTTTAAGTGATGAGTCAGAACTCTTTCAAAAGATTATTATATATTAAATTTAATAATATTTTGATGGATGAGCAATAACAAAGCATTTTAGATATTATTGAAGGAAATACTTATTTTAAACCCTAAATTTAAGAATAGGAAGTATAATCTAAGAAAAATAATTTAAAAAATAGGATATAATAATTAACTCAAATAATTAGTGTCAAATACCCATAAACCAATATAAATATTTCAAAAGATTTTGATGAGGATACATATATTTTGAATTTTCCTTTAGAGAGTTATCCTGGACATTTTTTAATTTTATTTCAAATAACAATTAAATTAAAGGAATAAGATTTTGAATTCAAGGCTTTTATTTGTGATGAAGATGGTAAATTATTAATCCATCAAAAAGTATATCTAATAATAAATGTATTAGCTACTTAGACTATAGGTTTGTAGATATGCTTTACGACTGAATCATGGACTTCGTGTAGGGAGTTTTTTTATCAATCCTGTTTTTGGTGACATTGGTTTTAATTTATAATGTATAAATACTCAAAAGGATCTTTTTTTTAATACTGACTATGATTTAGGTTAATTTTTAGCATTTCTGGATAATTTAATTATGACTGCAATTTACTCAATTAGATTTCCTTTTTTACGAATTATGTTTATGATTAATAAAATTAACAAAAAACAATTTGCATTATCTGAAAAATATTTTGAATAAGTGAAATAAAAATAACAACTCTAATATAATTGGAAAAAAATCCCAAAAGATGCTGAAATAGTATTAGTTAGGATCAAAAATGTTGTTAAACAGTATAATTTATATATTAAAATAGTTAAATGCATTTAGAATTCAGCTAATAAGAATATAAGAGCTTTGGTCCTATAATTTAAAAATAATTAATTGTTCAGAATTAATGTTTGATGGAGATTATTCCAGTAAATTAGAATGATTTGTAAGTAAATAAAGAAAGTTAAATAAATAAAGGAGGCTTTTGCAATATTTATTCAAAGAAAATAGGTTTTAAGTTGAAATAGAAAGATGAATCTGTATCATAACTTCAAGAAAGGTCTTTTGTTATTAAGGTTGATAAAATGTAGTAAGAAGATAAAATAAAACAGGAAGTTGAGATTATAAAAGTATTAAGTTAAGTACGATAAGATATATAGACCAAGTAATATAAGTATTTAAATATTTAGTAATTCTTCTTTTTCCTTTTCTGGTTGTTGTCCATATATTGCTTAGTTTTATTATTTAAAAGATAGATCTGATATACTTTTGATGGAAAGATATTTTCATTCTTCATTGGACTATTTTATGGTGACATAATAAGAAGTCTTAACTTTATCTACAAGAATTTTTATTGCTCTTAATATTGCTAAGGGTTTAAGATACATTCATAATTATGGAATTATACATACAGATATAAAACCAGCAAATATTCTGATATCCAAAACATTAATAGCAAAAATAACTGATTTTGGAGAGGCTATAAATACTAGAAATATAATTGATGGTTAAAGGCCAGGAAAAACAATTCCATATTGTGCTCCTGAGTATTATTAAAATTTAGAGGCTAATTAATTAACATATGCTTATGATATATATTCATTTGGTGTATTATTGTTTGAACTGTTATTTGATCGATACCCTATTGTAATTAAATATTATATACTTAATAGGATTTTAGAATATAGAATTAGAAGGATAAATTGTTAACGTAGAATTATTTTGTTAGATATAATGAAGAATATCAAAAATTAGTAGGACCATAGTATTTAATGAAATATTTAGGCAGATTATGTATTTAATGTAAGAAAAAAATCATTAAAATTATTAGGTTTATAGCCTGACAAAGAAAAAAGACCAAATCTTGATAAAATAATATTGGTTTTAAGAGATGGTTTAACATTTTTAGATTTGGTTTATTGAAACTTGAATTTTTATAATGATGATGATTAATTGTATATGTATATATAAGTTAATTAATAATTTATGAAAGAAATATAATAAGAAATTATGATTAATTAAGATGAAATGGAAAAAGAATTTAGTTTACTTGATTTAAATGACATAGAAGAGACCTAGTTTGATAAATTTGTATATAATAATTCATTTATTGAAACTCATTTTGAGAATTTGAAATTTTAAAATTATGATATAACTTAAAATAGGGAATCTTAGTAATGGCAAATTACAATTACTTTAGAATAGTAAGTTGATAAAAATACTTATTTAGGTATTCAAACAAATTTTTAGCAATATGTACAACAACAATAAATTTTTTAAGAAAAAGATTGGATTGTAAATCTTATATTGCTAAATCTGATGGATAGTTCATTTAAGTAAAAGAGAAAGTAAGTTTATTAATTTTTAATTTTTAAGTATATTTAAAGATTATTAGCAAAATATTTTTGTAAAATTAATAGTTCTTTGAAATTTGCATGTTTTAGTATAGAAAATGAGACTGGTTAAATTTAATTAAAACTAAATTCCATTTTAATTGAAGAATATTGGACAGATTTAATGAGTTTAGATCCAATGCTTATAAATGAATCAAATCATCCATTATTAAAATTACTAAATATGCTGCATTAGACAAGTCATTATGCAATTGGATATCATATTTATAGATTAATGCATTTAATAAATAAATTATCTTACAAAGTCTTTCCATTTCTAGAATAAAAATTATAAGATCAATATCGTAAAATCCATCCTTAATTCAATATTTATTTATTAAGAATTGAAGAAATTATTGAAGAGTAATCAAATGATTTTATTTATTAGTAAATGTACAATAGAAATAAGTGAAGATGAGATAAAATAGTTTTAATAACATTTCACATATCCCAAATAAATGAATCCTTAATATAAAATTATAAATAAGATAAGATTGTTAAATTCTGAGTAAATAGATAAATCTGAATTTATATCAGAGGGAGAATATTCAATTCTTAAAAAAGGTTAATTAGATTTTACTTTTGAATATAATCTAGATTAATAATAAACTGTGTCAATATCAAATATGAATACAGATAAATCAGAATTCTAGGTAAAATAAATGGATATGATGATCAATCAAGACTAAATTAAATTTTAGTCAACTATAAAAAGGACAATAGTGACCAAATAATATAAGCAAATTAAATAGGATATAAATGTATAATAAAATGAGATTTAAAAAAAGAAACAATCAAGAAATTTTATATATGAGAAAAAAATACTGTATACAATTTTATTAAAGATTATAGTTAAATTTTGTCATAATCTTTGATTGATAAAAATTAGCGACTAGTTTAAAATGGATATTGTCCATATATTGCTTAATATTATATGACAAATTAGAGAGATGAATATGATTCATTTTTATTTATGGAATTCTGTTAGAATATGTCATTAGAGAATTTTACATATAAATTTCAAACTACTTAGAGTTTGAATACTAGATTATTTATACTTTTTCAGATTGCAAATGCTTTAAGGTATTTGTCTTAATATGGAGTAATTCACAATAATCTAATACCTAAAAATGTATTGGTACTGATTATATTTATTAGAGATAACAAAAAATTACTTTGTAAAATTGAAAGGTTTTGGTTAAGCCATGTACAAGTAGGGAGATTAGATAAATATGTATGAAAATTATGGAGGTACACTACCCTATGTTGCACCTGAAGTTGTTTCTTTAGGAAACTAAAAAAATAATTAAAATAAAATTGATCATAAATCAGACATTTTTTCTTTTGGAATGTTGATGTATGAATATTTATTTGAATAATATCCGATTGTAATTATTTATGACGTAACTTGAGGATTACAAATAAAGCAATCAAAAATATATGATAGAGAAATATCAAAATTAATAATATTAAATTAGATCCAATTTAGACTTCATAAAATCATTAGGACCTAAGCATTTAATGAAACATTTACGTAATCTTGCTATTAAATGTCTCCATCCTGATCCTAAAAATAGACCAAACATAGAATGGATAATTATTTGTATAAAAGAGGGTTTGATTTATCTAGAAAAGATGTATTGATTATTTATAAAGTAAAATATATATATATATATTTTATATTTTTATTTTGATGAGTTCTGAAATTCATGATCAAATCAAAGATAGGTTTTCTGAAGTGTTTGCCAGATAATCTAATATCAATTAAACAAAGCCTAAAGATATTTACTTCATCTTACTTATATTAGTTATTTGGCCAATAATAGAATCAACTGAAAATCAAGAATATCATATAAGTCTTAGAGTTATTCTAGTCTTCATTTTAGCAAATACTTTAAGAAATAATAAGAAAATAAGATAAGAAAATACTAAGATTTTAGTTTATTTGGGAATAAGCATTCAATTAATCAGCAATATTATATTTGTGTATCAAGAAAAAAGGTATTTGTGAATAACAATATATGTTAAGCAATCAGCATTGTCAAAATTACCTAATTTCAATTGCTTTCCTGATACTAATTTCTACTCGATTTCAAATCCATCATATACGTGAAATTACCTATTCAATTTCAATTATATCCTTCATTACATAATTATATTTACAAAATCAAGTTATCCAAATACTCAAATATTTTTTTATTGCTTTAATAGCTATAGAAGGAATAATATGGAGAATGCATTTTTTAAATAAAGAATATAATAATAAAATAGCAGATTTTGCTAATGAATTGGATATTATGAAAGATTATTATAATGAATAAATAAATAAATTATAAGATAATTAAGAGAGTTTAGCTTAATAATAATTATCTTCAAGAGCAAATGATTTGTTAAAGAAATTGAGATTAATTAAATATTAATAACTATTGATTAAAAATAATAATGTTTAAAAAGGAATTAGGAAACCTAAGAAAATGAACTCAGAAATTCATTAGAATGCATTTTCACTTAGATAATTACCTGATAATAATAATATTATAGATGAATAAAGTTCAATCTAATAAGATTGTTCTAATAATAATTTTTATCAATTAGAAAACAATAATAATCCTCCTTAATTTAGAAGAAAATCATAAAGATTAATGACAAGTGCAACTGATTATAGAAATAATGAAAATTCTAATAGTGCATCATTTTCTGATAAGAATCTTGAAGAAGTTAAAATTACAACTGAAGATATTGATGATCTATTGAATTTACTATCAGGTAAAAAAGAATCAATATGGTTACCTAAATTTTTAAGGAGTAATTAATTAATTAATGAATAAGAAGGATTCAGTGTTGATGCTAAATAGTAATTATATCTATATTATTGAATAGATTCTTATTATCTCATTTTACACAAAAATAACCATCATTTGAATACATTTAAGATTATTAAGATCAAATTTAAGAGGAAGAATTGGAGAGAATTGATTTTAATGCAGATTTTTTATAATATTATAGAAACAAACCTTAAGATAATATATAAACAAGAATATTTTTTGAGAATACTATCAATATTTTTAAGAAATTTAAGATTGCTTAAACTTTTAAGATCATTAAACCAGAATTGATTGGAGAATTTGCTTTAAAAATTGATATGTCATACTTTAATAATCTATATCATAATTCTATGCATGCATTAGATGTAACAAATTCAACTGGATTTTTCTTGGAAAATGGTTTAAGTGAATTATTAGATGAATTTGAATAGGCTTGTTTAATAATATCATCTTTGGCACATGATATTGGACATCCAGGTCTTAATAATGGATTTATGATGAGTAATAGATGTAAATTAGCTTTGTTATGTATTTATATAAATATGTTAGATAATGATTAGAGTGTACTTGAAAATTATCATTCTTTTTTATTGTTTTAAATTCTCTCATAAGATCAATTCAATATTATATAGAATTTAGGATAGGTTGAATAAAAAGGATTTAGAAAATATTGTTTAAATCTTATCTTAGATACAGATCTAACAAGACATTTTTAATTAATGAACAAATTCTAAAATTATTTAGAATTAACTGAATCATAAGATCTGGATAAAAATTTGTTGATGTCTATATGTATTAAATGTGCAGGTATTCAATTATATCATCCATATAAGATGTTGGTCATGGTGCGAAATAATTAAAAATGCATAAACTTTGGAGTAGAAGAATTATAGAGGAATTCTTTTTATAAGGAGATTTAGAATCATATTTGAAAGTACCTGTATCACCAATGTGCGACAGAAATTAGTGTGTTACCAAATCTCAAGAAGGATTTCTAAAAGCTATTGTTTTGCCAATGTTCAATGCATTCGTTACCTTATTGCAGAAGTACTTGATAGTCTAACTCTGCATAGCGAAAAAGTGACAGAAGTTTGTTTGCAACAGATTCATGAGAACTTGAAGTATTGGTAACAACAAACTGATGATAAACAATTTATGAAAGAGACTCATATAGAAACACCAGGACTTGATAATTTGAAGAAATTTTTGAATTAGCCATTATAATTATGTGTTTGAAAACAAATAAAAAAACGAATTAATTATGTTATTGTTATTTATATTAGTTCTGAGTGTTCATGCAGATTTACCAGTACATTGTGTTCGTCATTAAATTGTAGGAAAATGGTAATTAGAATTTACAGAACCATAAATTAAAGGTAATTTAATAGATTCATCTAGGCAGTGGACCATTGACATGTGGTCATGATGTACCAGATAATGAACGTAGCTCATAATTTGCAGGATAGAATACATTTTAAAAGGCTTTTACACATGAAGTTATATTGACTGCTAAGAATAATGTTGTCTAAAAAAAGAAATTATAAGGCAAATGGAGTATGGTTTATGATGAAGGATTTGAAGTAGATTTTATGCATTATAAATGTTTTGCTTTTTCAAAATACAAGACAAATTATTCTGGTGCTTATTCATATTGTGGAGAGACTTTGATTGGATGGTATTAGAATATCAAAACTAATGAAAGAGGATGTTATAGAGCATTTAAATAAGAGAAGACTCATAAAGTATCAGAAGGTGCTAATAATGGACATGTTGTGCAACCTTAATTCTTTTAGTATTAGAATTCAGGAATCAATAAGGTTTGGTCTAGAAATGATGCTCTAAATTTTGTTGAGTAAATTAATAGAGCAAATCTATAATGGAAAGCTAAAGCATATGGTGAAATAATTGGATTGACAACAAAATAGTTGAATAAATATGCAGGAAGAAGAAAGCATTCATCAACTATATTATTGGAAAAATAAAAAAAGAAATAATAGATATTAGAATATGATTTAAGTCATTTGCCTAAGGAATTTTCATGGGAAAAATATTTAGGGAAGAAGATATATGAATAAAAGGGATGTGGATCATGTTATACTATTTCAACTATGACAATGTTATCAGCTAGATTAAAGATTAAAGGTTTGAAAGCAGATTTATCACCTTAATAATCTATTGATTGCAATTATTATAATTAAGGTTGTGATGGTGGTTATCCATTTTTGGTAGAGAAGTATCTTACAGAATTGGATGGATTTATATATGAAGAGAAAGAATATCCTTATAAAGGATAGGTAGGGAAATGTAAAGCAAGTGAGAAATAGAAATAATTTAGGGTTATTAATTATAGATTTATTGGGGGAGCTTATAGTAAATCAAATGAATAGAATATAATGGAAGAGATTTATAAAAATGGACCAGTTGTTATGAATTTTGAACCAACTTTTGATTTTATGTTTTATGTTGGTGGAGTTTTCCATTCCACAACTCCAGATTGGATTATTAATGGATTAGCTAAACCAGAATGGGTATTTTAGATAAAATTAATATAAAAAGGAAAAAGTTGATCATTCAGTATTATGTTACGGTTGGGGAGAAGAGAATGGAATTAAATATTGGTTACTATAGAATAGTTGGGGTAAATAATGGGGAGAGAATGGTAGATTTAGAATGAAAAGAGGATAAGATGAATCATCAATAGAAAGTATGGCAGAAGCAGCAGATATAGAGATAATTCATGATTCTTGAAAATATCAAAATTTATCTGATAGAAGATTGATGAATTCTTCTTCTGATATTTTACCATCATTATCTTGATCACATTCTGCTAAAAATTATTTCCATATATCATCATCCACACCTTCCATTATATGTTATAATTCTTCTTTGGAAATATAATTATCACCATCCTAAATAATAAATTAAACTACTAATATACAATATCAAATATTTTGAATGTTTATTTAATTTTTTCAATTGTCAATAATTTTTCATATTTCAAACATGCTACAATAAATTCAGTATAATCAATATATCCAGACATATTTACATCAATTTCTGTAACAATCTTATTTATTTTAGTTTCCATATTTTCAATTAATCTATCTCCACTTTAAACTTTCTATTAAAAAGCAGTTATTAATTCATCTTTAGATAATTTACCATCACCATTTCTATCTAATTATTTAAATAATTCTTATATTTATTCAACTTCTTTTGGTTGAATCATTTGACTAGCCATAAATGTTAATAAAGCTTATTTCAATTTACTCTTAGCACTAAATTCTGTTAAATTCTTAAGGAAATTATCATCAATCAAATTTGATTCTTTTCCTTATTATAACCAAGGATCATCAAATACTTATTAAGCAGAATATCTCTTTTCTACATCCAAACACAACATATTTGTGATCAAATTCTTAGCTTCCTTCGATATTTTATTCCATTCAGTAGCTTCATAATATAAATAATATACTATGAAATGGAATTTTGCCTTTTAAAATTCTATCAAATATCTCACCTTCATTTCTTCCATAAAATGGTGGATAACCAGCTAATAAAATATATAGAATGACTCCACATGACCATACATCACATTTCTCATTGTATTTCTTTTATAAAACTTCAGGTGCAATATAATATGGCTATTATAATATAATAAATAAATTATATATACTGTTCCTAATCTTTTAGACATATTTTGATTATGTTCAAACTTTCTTGAAGTTCCAAAATCAATTACTTTTAAGATTGAATATTAATCTTCAGAAGCAAAAATAATGTTTTCTGGTTTTAAATCTCTATGAACTATATTCTTTGAATGACAATAACCCACAGCCTACATTACTTATTTCATATATCTAGCAGCATCTGCTTCACTAAAGTTTTTAGCTTTTTGAATACGATCAAACAATTCACCTCCACGTAAATATCTATCTATTAATATCTACTTTATACTCTGTTATTAAATAATAAAACTTATCATCTTCAAATAACTCAAATAAATTGACTATATTAGGATGATCAAGATTTTTCAAAATTGTCATTTCTGAAAATAATTTAGCTTACTCTTCTTCAAATAAACAGTCCTTACGGATTGCTTTCATTGCTCTTTACATTCCTGTTACTCTATGAGTTACAATTGAAACTTGCCCATATGCACCTACCATTACTAAATATTTACCTTCACCCAATAACTTCCCCACTTGATAAGTGCTATATATGGTTTCTCTCTTCATCTATATAAATAGTGATGGCTACACAGACAAAGTAGGAATTGCTAAAATTATCACATTATTCTTTTACATGTTATTTATTTAAGTGGTTCTTCTTCATTCTTAGACTCTTATTACAATAACTTGTTCATATCTTCAGGCTTAGTCTCAATCTACTTATCTGGTCTATTCATATTATTCAATAAGTTTACTCTATAGGTTGATTAGTACAGCATTAATTCCCCATTTATTATTATTTTAATAACACAACTCTTTCATCAATATCTACTCACAAAATAAGTAGATATTGATGATAAGATTCAATTATTCACTATTCATTTTAATATTCCATTTGTTTTAGAATCCAACATAATAACCCTACAAAATCAAACAACTCTAATACAATAACAATCTATATAATAATCAATCTAAATTAATGAATTTAAATAAATTTCACACAAGACATCAATCATAACCAACTTTATGGAGTTTGCATTAACCCCAACATAAACCTAATACTAGACCAAAAATAAATCATAAGAGAATAGTATTGCCTGTTATCCCTCAAAATCCAGCTGTAGGCTATTATTCTCCAAATTTACAAAGCATATACTCAAATCCTAAAATTGCTAGAATGCGTAGTGTAACTAAAATACCAACAACCAATGACTATTCTCTAGAAAAAGTAAAACCCTAATAAAGCAATAAGAAGTCTTCTTAAAAGTTAACTATATTAGAAATGATGCTAAAGGAAGTAGATGAAGAAGTTGATTAGGATTTGAGGGAGAATCCTGTAATAATTTAGATTATATAAAAATTAGAAATGTGCAAAAACTCCATTGTAATTACAACCCTTAAATGATAACTTTATTGAGTAACTCAAATATTTGAAGTTGAATTTACAACGACTTCTAAGAAAGAAAATATGATAACAATAATATATAAAAATTACTTTATTTTTAATTTTTATCGATCAAATGTCAAATATCAAATAGATGAGAGAAAAGTATGAATAAATAAAAGCCAACAATCCTAAAAGAGCAAGTAGTGCTAGATCTTAAGTCAGTTAATCCAGATTATAAGCTGAAATGGGTCACTCTTAATAACGATTATAAAACAGTTAATCGTTATTATGTAGTCCTTGCTATAATAAGAAATTATATGAGTAACGAGAATACATGAAAAGACAATAAAATGAATTAGAAAAGGTTTTATGTTTTATTAATCTCTATAGAACTTAATGAAAAGGTAATTGGATATCAATTTACAGGAAGAGTAATACAAATCTTAAGTAGAGAGGTAACAGATAATCAATAGAAAATAAATAGAATAATTCAATCTTCAATTATCCAGTTAATTTTAGTTAAAGAAATAAGAAATGCAATCACAACAGAAAGCTCAAGAAATAGAATTTGAAAGACAAGTAATAAGAAAAAACTTAGATATTGAAGAGTAAGAAAAGATATAGAGATTAAAAAAAATATAGAGTCTTGGATAATAATTAAAAGAATAGATTGAAGAGAAGAAAAGATTGACTTAGCAAGATTTTCATTAAAATAATGGAATTATTGATGATCCTTACTGGAGACATTAATCTTAAGGAGAAAAGGAAGTTTTACAAAGAAAGAATTATTAATAACAATATGTAAATAATAATTGGACACATTTTGAGAGGGAAAGATTAAAGAAGATTAATTAATCAAAATTGGATTAAGAAAAAGATATATAAGATAGAGTTAAAGCTTTAAGAGAATATCATTTATTCTTATAATAGGAGAAATAAGAAAAAATGAATTCATAGAGATAATTGATTTTGGATTTGACTGAATAAGTAAAAAGAAAGAAGGAAAGAGATGCTTAAGAAAAATAGATTAATTAACGTTTATAAAGAGAAAGAGATCAATAAGATTTATTATAATAATAAGAAAGAGAATTAAAGGAAATAAAAAATAAGAAGAGTGTCAGTTAATAAATGATATTGGGATTAGAGAATTAACTTAGTTACAAGAAATCTAATTAAAGAAAGACTTAAGAAGATTCATGCAATAATACTTTATTATTATAGTCATAAATTAATAAATAATTAGTTCCTTGTTCAAAATGTAAGAAATGCTAAGATCCACAATTTTTGAGTATATTATGATAATTATAGTAAGACTTTTATTAAATTTTATTAAAAAATTATAATTATTCTTAAAAGTTTTATATTATAAATTTATATTATGATTATAACAATACAATTTTAATAATATGATTAAAATACTCTCATTCATAAAATATTATTATTATTTTCTTTTTTTAGAACTGCTTTTAATTAAGGTTCATTTATGACATAATTGATATAAGGTTCTAAATTGAAATCCAATGAGAAATTTTAAGAATATCTTAAATTTTAGTTTTCTGGTTTTTCTAATTTTAATAACTTTTTGTTGAAATATACTCCTAATCTTACTACAAACATTCCATTATATTAAAAGTAAGTTGTCTTTGATAATTAAAGACATTCATCAATTCCTGGTAAATTAATTGATATCTATATAATATAAAATAGAATATAATACTTCTGGTTTAGCTGACTCTTTCATTTCAAATAGCAAAGAACTTTTTTCAATTTTACTTTTTATTACATTTATTATATATTTAAGGAAAGGCCATTCTAATGCTTGATAAGCTACATCTTCAAGACTCAATTACATCATTCTACTTTTTAATTGTAATTCAAGAATTTTAGCAAATTACAAAACTAAAGTATCAATAAATGATATGTAATTAATTTGAAAACTTTATTCTTTAATGAAAATTGTCTTGACTTTAGATTTCTTATTATCATTTTCACTTTAAACTGTTTCAAAGAATACACCATCTATAATTGATATTAATTTCTTCAATAACAATTATGGAAAATTATACTCATCTGCATAAATCTTTTTATTTTCTATATAAATAGGCCAATCCAATTCATAAACAAAATATGGAGGTACTTAATATTTTTGATATTTTTCTTGTAATATTTTTAATTCTTCAAGTTCATAATCACTAAGTTAACTTTTTTATTTTTTTTTTATTTTTTATTCTTTAATTAATTCCATCATACTTTAATATTCTCTAACATTATTACCATCTACATCTAAGAATCTTTTAATATAATGTAATTAACTTTATTTTCTTGCAAAATCATCCTATTAAATATATCAAATATATAAAATTACAATTAATTATTTAAGCTAATTCTCCCTATTGCATTTGCTAAAATATTAGGCTTTTTTTAAGATAAGTACATTCAGTGTAATTTCATACTAATAAGTTGTTAAATTAAAATAAGCTGACACATTGACTTCATCTTCAATTGAAAGATTTTTTCTTTGAATTATTTTGTTATTATTTTCATCTTCAAAAAATATATCTTTGTCTAAAGTAATATCATGAACAATATTGCCATATTGCCTTCCAAATTCAAATGGGTATTTCTCACTAAGTTGCTCATTAATAATTTAAAGGATATCATATTATAATTAATTAGGTTTGATTGCAAATTAAACTTGGAATGAGTTTATAAATTTTTATTAATTTTATAATTCTTCTTAGAATTCTTTAAGTCGAATATTATCAAATATTTATTTTTTTGAAAGCTCCTAAAATTCTTTAACTACGCTTTAATTGATGAATAAATTTATGATATTGTTTTTTTCTTGATAAATCATAGGTATTTCTAATTGATAATTGAATCCAGTAAGATCTTTATCAATAATAATATCCTGAATAGAAAGTACCTTTAATTAAATATTTTTTCCTTTGGATTATTCCATTAATTCTATATTAATTGTAATCTAATCATTAGGATTAACATTCTATATAAAAGATTCTATTTCTGAGATAAAATTCAAAACTATATGTAAAACACAAAACTAAAATAAATTATATATATATATACCCCTCTATATATTTTATCTTTACACATTTTATCTGTTTTTGCAAATTCAAATTGAAATAGTTTCAATAAATCATTTTGCTAATAATTAATAATGTAATTCTAAGATTTTCTCTTAACATTAAGTAAATTAAGTAATCCTTAAATGAAAGATTTCTCCTTAAAAATATCTTTATTAATTGCAGCCTTGGATTATTGACTCCATTCCATTACAATATTATATAAATCATTATTTCTAATTGAAAATATCAATTAAACTATAAAGCAATCTAAATCTTTAATTGATAATCTTTCTAATATTTAATTTAAGATAGGAACAATTTTATAATTAGTTACATCACTTTCTCCAATATAATTAATTAAGTCATTGCATGTGGAAATATAAATAACTAAAATAGCTGCATATTGATAATTTGATTCTACATCTTCAATTATAACTTAACCCACTACTTTATTGAAATGTTCTTATTGTTTTTCTACAATTTATTATAATTCATGATTTTTCATTTTCTTTTATTCAATAGGTTGTAATATTTCTTATGTTGATTAATGACGAATGATAGGTAGCATTTGTTTATAAGAAGAAAATGATTTTAATGGTTCATTATATTATGTTGATCTTTCAACTAAATCTGGTTAATTGTAATATAAATAAAGCATAACTTCAGGAGTAAATTAATCTAATTAATCATTTAATTGACTTTATTCAAATTAATTCATCATTTTTAGTTCTTACTTATAATCAAATTTAAAATAAGTCTTAAATGCATCAATCACTTCTTATGATGCCCAAAACAATTTTTATTTAGAATGAAATTATCTTACATAATCACTTATACTCAATTAATATTTCATAACCTTATCAAATCCACAAAGATGTAGATAAAAAAATTATTCATAAAATAATAATTTAAAAATTTAAAGATTTTCAATATCTTCAGTTAAACTTATTTATTAATTTACACATAATAATAAATTTAAATCTGGTTTATATTCCAACATAATTTTAAAGAATATAACACTTGTTTATAAAGATGTTATAATTGTTAGATTTCCTTCAAAATATTTTTTAAGTATTAAGTAAATTTTATAATGTTAAACTCTATAATTTCCTTAATCTTTCTCATACTTATTACAATAATTAATTAAGACTGAATCATCTTATTTTAATTCTGAAGAACATTAATTCATAGATTTCTATAAGATTGAAAACACTTTTTCTATAAATAAATTTCTTCTCAATTTGATATTCTTATCAAAAACCATACAAAAATCTGGAAATCCTTAATAAATTGAAAATTCCAATAAAGATAATCGTTCGCTTTCTTAATTTTCTTCATCCTCATTGATTATATTTGATTCCTTGAAATTTCTATTGTCCATAATTTCAGTTAGATTTTAATAATATTCCTTATCGTTTTTTAGTAATTTTCTTAAGAATTAGACAATTTTATTAAAGAGCATCCCATATTTCTTAATGATTATTAATACAAAACAATTATATTCAGATATATTTTCATTTTCTATTTCATCAATATTAAATTTCATCCAATTATAAAATAAATTTAAGTCAACACCATCTACTATTATATTCTCAAAAAACTTTGTTGATGATTATTCACTAGAATACATTAATACTTAATAAAATATTGGTAAATTTAGATATTACTAAATTTATGGGAACTTTTATTAATCTTTATATTATTAAGGAAACTTTAAATTAAGAATTTGATCAGTAATTAAATCAAAAAGTGTATAACTTCCACAACTTGATGCTAAGCATAAAAACTTGATAATTTAATCTTATTATAAAGGATTTTTAGGTTTAAATACATTTATATAATGTTCTAAAATTTTATGAATTCTTTACTTGAAATCAATGTGTAATGACATTTAACAATTAAATATTCGAATAAATTAAGAGTCTTTAAATTATCAATTTCAAATGGCTATCCATTCACAAAATTAAATTCCTTATTATAAGTTTAAAAGAAAGGCTTAACTTTAGCTTTCAATAATTTAATAAAATATGGAATATTACTTTAAGAAGGAACAACCAATCTTCCAGCAGGTTCAATTTCAGCTATTATATTAATATAACAATTTACTTTTTGTAGGCAAAGTTTCAATGTTTCTAAATATTAATGCTTCTTTAATTCTCTATATTTCATCAACTTTGTCTTTTTTTCCCTTTACATCTCCTTATGATGCCTCATTACCTTCTTTTTCCCCTAATTCTAAACTATGAACTAAATCATAAAATTAATATTTATTCAATTGAGATCCCATAAACTCTAAAGCTCTTGGATCAGTTGTCTTAGACCTCATCAAAGAAACAGCAAGTGCATCTAAAATATGAATAAAAATCTACTATAAAGATAAGAAACATTTTTATCAAATATCCCTGAAAAATCATTTGCAACAAAGTTCTTAACAATTATTAAAATAACATCTGTTGCAAATTATAATTATAATGGCTAATATTCCTTTTTTAACGTATAATCTAAAGCTCTAAATATTCTGAAAGATCTATTCTTTTCTTATTCAATCACAGTCTTTAAATTAGGTTTAAAATTTTCTTCTAAAAATTAAAGATTCATCTTTATTCTTTTTTCAATTCTAATTAATTCTAATTTAGATGCCTTCTATTTTAAATTTTATAAAATAATATTTTCAATAGCTGTAAATATTCTCTACTCTTTATTGTTTAATTTATCCAATATTTAAATATTGTTTGATATTATAGGTAATAAAGATATCTTCTCCAATTTGTCTTTTAATTCTGGTTTTTTTTATAATAGGTTATCTAAAGAATCTTTTAATGCATCCAATATAGTTTCAACTGTTTTCTCTATATTTGATTTAGGAGCATTCCAATTACTATACATTGTACCAGGATTTTAAGTGTAAAAGTTCTACCTTAATTTCTAAAAATAATATTATTAGAATGCTTGTTTGTTTAAGGTATGATTGTAAGCATTCCAATTTTTAGGTCTGTTAGCACATTTCTCTAGTAATTTCTTAGCATTTTATATTAGATATCCTAAGGCTCCAGCATCAAATAAACTATATTAACTTAGAATAATTTGTCTTTTAGTAGGAATGATGAATTGAGGCTAAACCTTTTACACTTATTCTTAATTTGCTTTTGCTGGTACAACTGGAACTTCACGAAGTTATTTTTCTAAAATATTTAATGCAATATCTTCTAATAAATTAAATACTAATTCAGGTTTATTTGCTGCTAATCTCTTTAAAAATATTGGTAATCTATCAGGTAATCCAAGTTTTGTTAATGCTTTAGCAGCTATGTCATAATCTTCTAAAGTTGCAACATCTTTTGTATCATTCATATATTTATCAAAATCTTATTAGTTTAAACAAACAGCTGGATGTTAAGTAAGAGATCTATAAAATTATCCATATTTTTAATATATAGGTCTAAGTACACTTAAATTACGTAATGATAAATCATCAGGAGACTTGTTCCATATATATTATAAACAATTATTTATTAATTATTAATTGTTGGAATAAAGTGCTGCATTTAATATTTATTTCATTAAGTAACCATTTGTATTTTTGACTTCACTTTATTTATCTAATTTTTTAGGATTTCTAAGGTAAAAATTACTCTTATCATCAGATTATTAAGTTTGTTTATTTGATTTAAGAGCTTTAAAAATTTTGGGATATTATTATTTAGAAAATTTAGTAGGTAATGATGATGCAATTTAATTGAGAAGTTATTATATTAATCTTTATCTTCCATCTATGTTATCTTACTTTAATTTATCAATAAATTTTAAAACATCCTCTACTCCTTTTTCAGTCATTTACTTAGAAGTATAATTTAAGAATTCTCTCTCTCTAAATTATCCAAAATTTAAAGGATCTTCTTTATTTTTTAATTTTCCTAATAGACCTTCTTATAATAGATTTTTTGCAAAATTATTTTTACTTTCATAATAGGCTTAAATCTATTCTGGAGTAAGTATTTTTTATAATTCTTCTTATAAACCTAATTTTACTAACTCTTCAAATGGTGATTTGTTATTCATATAAAATTATTTAGCAAGAATTCTAGGTTCAATTTTTATTGTTTATAAAGTAATTTCTTTTAATAATCTATTTAATTTAAGGGTAGTAAATTTAGTTTCATTCAAGATTTACTATATACCTATAAAGACTTCTAAAGGATATTTTGCATAAAATTATGCCATAGCTTTTAACATATCATCTTAACTGAATTTTATTGTTTTATTTTTATCTTTATCATAAATTGTTATCTAACCATTTTCATCAGATATGAAATCCTCTTAATTATTTGAAATGATAAAATTCAAATCTGGTTTTATTGCACAAACCATAGTACTTTATTATTTTAAGAAGTTTTCCAATAAAGATTCAAGAAATTCTATTTTACCCTATCTTGCTAAATTGTATATGGCAAAAGGCATTTCTTTCGTAACCCCGTCATAATTTTCAATGTTTAGAGAAAACCATTATATCCAATCAATTTCTTTAGAAACAAATTCGAACATATTTTATTACAGTAAAGACATTGCCTTTGAAAGTTGAATATGATTATAATAGTAATCTTTTAAATCATCCTCTTCAATTTAAATATTGTGAATTTTGAAAAAACATTTTGCTCTAAACTCATATTAATTAAAATCTTTCTTTAATGGTTATTTCATTATATTCAACATTTCTTAAATGGATTTGATTTCTTCTGTATTAAAACTATAATATAATTAATAATAATTACGCTGGTACTACACTTGATAATTTGGTTATATATAGAACAAGTGGAGTAGCATCATATGGAGACATTGTAGTGACAAATAATTATTCCTATTATTCAGGTTCAACTAAACCTAGTAAAGATTACAAGGCAATTTTTTATCCAATAGGATTAATATCTTAATTTAATGCTATAGCATGAATAAAGCTTTTTCCTTATGGAGTTGTCATATCGAAAATCTTTTTGGGATCAAGTTTAGGTATATCCTTATTATCTTCATTAGGATTATTAGGATGATATTATGTGATCATTTAATTAATAACATTAAAAGGTCCTTTTTCAAAGAAATCCATCAATGGAGTATTTCCTGTTCCACCCTATTAGAAATAAAATAAGGGTTCAGCTTAAAAACCTTCATAAAACATATTCCATCTTTTTCTTCTTACTAATTCATGACAAATATTCCATAAACAAGGTTTTTCAAGTAATTTAGCAGAATCTTGTTCTTGTTCTTGATCAATATTTTCTTTTTCATTTTAGATTTCTTTCTTTTTTTATAGGAATTTTTATTTAATTTCAGAAAGTGGTGTTTTTGAATTTATATCCATATTAGAAAATAATCCTGGATGAACATTATTTGATTGTATAATTAAAAATTTAGCTTTATCTTTTAAATTCTTTTTCTTAGGTAAAACAGGTACAGTGAAATATATTTTAGTTTTAGCTTCTTCATAATTTGATTGAATGTGATTTAAAAATGGATCATCAGGTTTCAAATGTTTTTTAGCTAACTTTACTAATTTTCCTAATACCATAATATGTTCATAATTTTCCATTTTATCAAAGTCTCTACTATTAATATCAAAATAAGAAATAAAAGAACCAGCATCAATTTAAACATTACCTTCTTAATCTATTTTTGAACCTAATCCATTTTTAAATTATTCAGATATTAAATTAATTGTAATTCCAAAATCTGGTATTTTTTAAGCAACTTTTAAGAATTCAAATAATGGTTCAATTCTTATACCTTCAATTAAAACACTCTTTATATTTTAAATTAATTTCTCTGCAAATATATCAGCTTATTATATATTTTCTGGATTTGAAAATTCCATATCTTATATTGTATCTATTATTACTCCATAACTTCCATCATCCATACAATAATCATATTCACACATACCCATATCATCCACATGATCAATTAATAATTATGATCCTGTACATCCAAATTACTGTAAAGCTTCTTCTAATACTTTCTTTGGTAATCTGCCTTAACGAATTGTCTATCTAAGAGCATTAACTTAAACAACATAAGGATTCTCATCTAATGACTTTAACAAAGCAATAGTATTTTCTGAAAGTTATGGCCTTTTTATACGAGAGGTTCTTCTTGAACCTACTTAATCAATATCTAAATATAATGTTTCTTTAATGAGAGCCCCTAATTGACCATCTAAATAGGATTGTATATCTTCTTCATTGACAATTGCTAATTCAATGCTTGCTTCATTAATCGATACAACTAAAGCTTTATTATGTTAATCATCTGGCCATTTATAAGGACCATATTTAGATTATTCGACTAACATTCTTCTTTCTCTTTCTTCTAAAGATCTTGGTGATCCTTTGGTATAAGAGAATTAATCTATCATCATAAATGTATTTTACTTATAGGTGCATCAAATTCACAGATTTCAAACATCTAAAAATTTACAATTATATCTCCAAGTAAAGGAGGATCTTCTAAAGAATTATTAGAATAATTAACTCTCTTCTTTCTATATAGTTTTATTTCTTAAGATTGTAATTTTCTTAGTTATTTATTTATTTTATTTAGATTCAAATTATACTTAGTAGATTCACCTAATTCATTCTAGTCTGTAACTTTTTGTAATAATTAAAATAATTAATTTGTAATATCAAATTAACCTACATATATTGAATCTTTTCCTTATTTCTTCCAAAATATAACTTATATTGGATTTGTGTAATTATAAATAATAATTGTATCCAAACATTCATTTAATTAATTAGGAAATTCTTTTGCTGAATTTTTAAAATAAGTTTAACCATTATAATTAAGTTCCCAAAAAAATAATGCTGGTTTATCAACACTAGATAATTCTGATTTTGAATTTATTCTCAAATCTCTAAAATTTGTATATTTCAAATTTTAAATATGAATCATAATAAATTTTACATTTTTAGTTAATTTTTTACTTATAATATGAAATTATTAACTGCTTGGTGTTCTATCAAATTCCTTTTATGTTTATTCATTAAAGTAATCTATTATCCCTTACCATTCACCAGCACTACTTCTTTTTACTGCCAAACCAATCAAATGATTATTTTTTGCACTCTCTTATGCTTTAATCATATCATCTAATTATAATTATTATAATATACCTGCATTTTTTATAAATCCCTATCTTAAATACTAATTAAAAACCAATGGATTTAAATTAATACTTGATTTTGAACTATGAGGTGATTAAATTGATAAACTCTTACTAGAAGCATCAAACTTTTCTTATTATTCTCTTACTTCTTCATCTCTTGCTGTTGAACTGATTAAATAATTTCAATTAATACTTGACATAATAATTTACTAATTTCTAGTTTTGTAACTGCTATGACTTCTTATCTTACTTTTTTAAACTATTAAGTTCCTATTTTAATTATTGTATCTCTTATTTTTGTTATTCTCTATCCTTTGTTATGATTTTTTTAGATCGAAATGTAGTAGCTAATTGTTATACTCAATTTTCTATACGTTCATTTTTATCTGCCTTCTTTTTGTTTTTTTGTTCTACAATTTAATTTCAATTATTCATACCTTCTTCTTTCTATATTTGTACACTTTTTTCCAATATTTACCTTAATAAATCTGCTAATTCCTCTTAACCCAATATTTAATTATCATCTTTATCAAATGTATTAATCATATCCTAAAGCTATTCATCATTTATTTGCTATAAATAGATTCTATGTTTTACTTTAACATTCGCTTGTTTATACATTTCAAGAATAGTTCTTTTCAACTCTGAAAATTCGATGTAACCACTGTCTTTTTTATTAATTAAGAAAAATTTATACCATTTTCATCTATGGTATGAAACACATCCTAAACCATAGCCTCAAATTTCTTATTGTCCTTAAGAAAATCCATTTATTATTTAATTTATTAAATATTATTGTGGTTTCTTTGTTGATTTCAACATAATATATCTAAAAAAACTATAACACACTTATAAAATATAATATTAATAATCTATTTATCAATAATGAAACTAACTTAATAACAATATTGATCTAAATAAATATTGATAAATCACATTTAAAAATATTAAACTAAATATATATAATTTTTTGTTAAACTCATTGTATTTGTAACTTTTTATTAATATATATATATTTTATTCATCAGACAAATCGATTAGAATTATAAACTTATCAATTGTTATTTAATAATATAAATTTTAAGTATTTAAACATTATCATATAGATTGATTATCTTAAACTCAAAGGAATGATTAATAACAATGATAGTAGAATAATACTTTAAATTATATTATTTTAGATTATTAAAATTATATAGCAGAGTTTCAGAATTATTCATAAAATAATTTTGATAAATATATTGATAATTATAACTGCTACAAATGTCAATTTATATTATTATTCAGTTGTTGTCCTTAATAATAAATTATGTGAATATAGATATTTAATGATATCATGAATTGTTTCTTTAATTATTTGATCTTTTTGTCTGATATATTTTTGTTGTTTTTTAATAATGTTTACAACTGTAGAATAATTTGAAGTAAATGATATTAACTAGTATCCTCAAATATATAATTTAATTAAAATGTAGTATTCGGCAACTAGCAAATGCAAATTGATGTCACCATAAATAGAACAAGAGATGAACTCTAAGGGTTTAGATAATTCAATTTTAGAAATGAGTCCAATGAAGATAGAAACTTCTAATCCAGGTATTTCAACAACTTAGTAATTGGTTTCTGCATAAAAATTTGGTGGGACAACTATGAGAATTAATTCAATTCCTCTTGACACATTATAACCACCAGATTTACCAGAATCTGAAGGAGTATTATCAATTGATAAATAAAGAGAAACTCAATAAATGCTTATAAAATAGAAATCACCATTTGCTAAATTGATTATTAATTGTCATTCATTAAAGTTTGCAAATAAAATGATTAGCTTTATAAGACCTGATTGTAAATTTTCTCAAAAATAACATGAAATTTTAAACGATTAAGCAAGTTCATATATGAAATAGAAAGGGAAGATAAGTGGTAATTTTGTGCAATAAAATCTTAATACAATAGATTTATAGATCAGACTTAAAATAAGAACATTGAAAAATAAAATAGTAAATCAATTATCAGGATGCTTCTCTTAATTATATAATTACATCCCATTAATAGAACCAAATAATATAAATAAATTAATCTGGGACTTTTTACTTTGCTTAATTCGTATATATTTGATAATATGGTCTCCTATCATTATATCATTTCCATTTTTATAAAATGATCATGCAAATTATTTTTTAATCAGTTGTGTATTTCTTGTATTTGATATAATGATAAGAAACTTCACTATTTATTTTCATAAAGGATTACCAGTCAAAGATAGATTATAATTATTTAAAAAACAAATTAATTTTGGTTTAGTAATAGAATTAGGGAGTATCTTATTTGGAATATTAGTATCCTTAGATTATTAATTAAGTACATGGTTTTTCATCTTGTTTTATTATTAATTAAGAAACATAATGAAATTAGTAGATATAATTCAATATAATTTAAAACCCACTAAAATGGTTAGTTCTATAATAGATCTATTTAAATTAATAGCTACAGTATTATTAATATAACATTTTTGTGGTTGTTTATGGTATTCAAATTTATTTAATAATAAATAGGTTAAAATTAGGTTAGTATTATGATAGTTAAGGTAAAATGAATTGGATGATAGATGTTAAAGATGAAAGTTGGTAAGTATAATTTTTGGAATCTTTTTATTTTATGAGTGTAACAATGTTTACTGTAGGATATGGAGATATAACACCAACAAGTATAAGATACATTATTATATAATTAGATTCACTGGAAAAGATGTTTTGTATTTGTTATATGTTCTTATCAACTTTATAATATTCGTATTCAGTAAATACAATTGGATTAATTCTTACTTAGATGAAAGAAAACAATGAAATGATAAGATAAAAGATGACTTGTATTAATGAATATTTGCACTGTAAGAAATTAAGTACTGAACTTTCAATGAAAGTAAGAGAGTATTTTAATTTTTATTGGAATTAAGAAATTATACAAAAAAAAAATGAACAAATAAGACTTATTACTTTATTACCTGAAGATTTATAAAAGAAATTAAAATTAGAATCAGCTTCATCTTTAATTATTAAATGTCCATATTTTTCTTAGTTTCCTAAATCTGCTTTAGAATGTTTACTTTAAAGTACTGAATTTAATGTCTTTTAACCAGGAGTTTACATAAATCCATAAGAATATATATATATAATAGAAAATGGAAAAGTTGAAGTTATGGAAGATAAGGTTTGATTATAAATATTTTAGATTGTAATTGACACTTTAAAAGAGAATTAATATTTTGGTTTGCAAGAACTCTTTTCATAAACTGATAAAATTAATTATAAATCTGCTGATTTCTCTAGTCTACTTATGATTCCTCGTTCTGAAGTATTAAAAGTAATTAGTAAATTCCAATTATAAATTATACCTGATAAATATTGTTATATTTGTCATGATAAACGACATTATACTCATTAATGTAATGTTGTTCATTATATTCCTGATATAGAAAAGGTAATTATGAGATATCATTTTTTAAATATATAAGAAAGAACCACATTAAAATAAACTAAAAAAATTAGATCTAAGTTTTCTGCTTTAAATGAATAAATTTTGATATAAGATAGTGCAAAAATATATTAATTAGAAAATGATATTATACCTGAAAATGATATTTAAGAATAATAAAGTCAAGGTTTTAGTATTCATTAAAATGGACCACCTAAAATTAATGTTGTTACTTTTGAAGATTAATAAGGATAATTAAATCCTCCTGAATGGTTAGTAGAAACATCATTTAATCCTGCTAAATTTATGCAAAGAACCTCTTTATTATAATAGACTTAAATTTTAGATAGTTTTAAAAATAAAAGAGAAAAAAAACTTTTATTATCTGGAACCACTAATAAATAAAGTGATTAAACTATACTTTCAGAAAAACCTGGAGATTGTTAAGAAACTTTAAATAAATTGTAAACTATTCTACCTAAATTATCAAATAATGAATATGAGAAATGTTTCTTATTGATTAAAAAATTAGAAGGACAATTAGGTTTAACAGAAATACCAGATTTTGAATAACTTAAGGAATTTGATAAATTTGATAGGGAATGGAATATTGATAGAATTATAACTAAATTAATGAGACCTATTAGAAAAAATAATACAGAATTATTAAATTAGTTATTAAATAAGTATTCAAAATATTTATTATTTCCTTATGAATTTATACGTCTATTTAGAAATTCATTAATTGAAGAAGAAGATATTAAATAAAATAAATCATATTTAGAATAAGTTAGACATAGTGTTAGACATTTTTTAAAAAGAAAGGCAACAGCAGTATTTCCGATTAAATGAGATAATAAATAGAAATAATATATTCTCGCCAATAATATCTATATATTATATTATTCACATTAAACAGCTTAACAATTTTTATACTGCTTATTATTTTTATTGTTTCCATTCTGTCTCTGCTTGATAATAATGGATTGCTTTATGATTACCTAATTTTTCAAAATAAAATGTTTCTAATAAAGTTTGATAATTTTAAACAGTTGATGCATGATAAAAATTATTATGATCATAAATTTAAATATATAATTTTTATCCTTTTTAGTTTGTAATAATGAAATCAATATCTGTACCATTAACATGTTGATTAGATAACAATTTAAATGTATTTGGCATATATTTTAAAATGTCATTTTTTATTTCTTATACAAGAATAGAAGAAGAATGTTGTTCTAAATTCTTTGCTTTTTCTTTTCTCATTCTAAAAGTTGCATTTTATCCCTCATAATAATAACTTTTATATTCTTATTTAAGATATTTAATCCAATTAGCCATAACAATTTACTTAAAAAATAATTGTTAATCAAACGAATTCTTTTTTTTTTCAATAAATTCTTCAATTACTGATTAAAATTTCTCTTCAAAAGCTTTAGATAAAGGAATATTATAATAATTATAAATTAATGCTTATTTTGAACATAATTCTAAAGTCCAATTAGTTTTATAACACTTTTCCAAAAGTTCACACATTTAATTTGAATTCTTTTTATAAGCTAATTACCTTTATAAATATTAAATTTTTTAATAAGAAAAGTTATCTTAATTCAAATAAGTTTTAAAATGTTGCATTCCTATTGATTCCTCTTAATCAAACAGTATATTACAATCATCAAAATAATTCAATGTTGTTAATAGATCACTTGGATTAACAATTTATTTGGCTAATATTCTTTTCAATTCCTCCATCATTGGTTAAAGTAATTCTGGGAGTGATATACCAAAAGTTTAAATTACTCTCATTACACTACATCTATATATATTATATTTACTTAATGTAAAAACTAAATTATCCATCTATATAATTCATTAATTCTTTAACAATTTATATGATTTACTAATCTTTAAGTTTAAGTTATTCAAGTTTTTCTTTTTTTTAAGTATCACTTCCATTAAAATATGTATTTACATATTCTTTATCTAATTGTATACCTGATAAAGTTATTAGATTTGACATCATTTCTTATTCAGCTAATGATATCTAATAATTAAAAATAAAGTATTACTGATGGCAAAACAAATTTGTTTATTAATTTTGATTCATTTATTCCTTTAACTTTCAATTAATTAATTTACACTAAAATCTATAATTTGAGTTCTTCATTAAAGTAGAACTTAAGATTGCATAAATTTAATAATTCCACTAAACAAGATTATCCCAATATTTGTTTATTTTCATAAAAATAATACAAAACAGCTTCCTTTAATTATTCATTATTATAATCATTAG